GAATTCTCAGGACCCCAGAAACTCCCAGGAATATCAGAAATTCCAAAATATTCCCAGCAACCTTCAGGATACCCCCAGAAAGTTTCTGAAACTTTTAGGACATCTCAGCAACTCTCAGGACACCCTTTACCCCCAGGACTCCCCAGAAATATTCCAGGACCCCCAAAAATTCCCAGGACCCGCAAAATAACTCCCAGGACCTCCCAAAACTCCCGGGACCCCCTAAAACTCCTAGGACCCCTAAAACTCCAGGACCCCTAAAACTCCCAAGACCCTTAAAACTCCCAAGACCCCTTAAAACTCCCAGGACCCCTAAAACTCCCAAGACCCTTAAAACTCCCAGGACCTCCCAAAACTCCCAAGACCCTTAAAACTCCCAGGACCCTTAAAACCCAGGACCCCTAAACTCCCAAGACCCTTAAAACTCCCAGGACCTCCCAAAACTCCCAAGACCCTTAAAACTCCCAGGACCTCCCAAAACTCCCAAGACCCTTAAAGTTCCCAAGACCCTTAAAACTCCCAGGACCCTAAAACTCCCAAGACCCTTAAAACTCCCCAGGACCTCCTAAAACTCCAAGACCCTTAAAACTCCCAGGACCTCCCAAAACTCCCAAGACCCCTTAAAACTCCCAAGACCCTTAAAACTCCCAGGATCTCCCAAAACTCCCAAGACCCTTAAACTCCCAGGACCCTTAAACCCCAGGACCCCTTCCCAAGACTTTAAAACCCCAGGACCTCCCAAAACTCCCAAGACCCTTAAAACTCCCCAGGACCTCCCAAAACTCCCAAGACCCTTAAAACTCCCAGGACCCCTAAAACTCCCAAGACCCCCAAACTCCCAGGACCCCTAAAACTCCCAGGACCCCCAAAACTCCCAGGACCTCCCAAAACTCCCAGGACCTCCCAAAACTCCCAGGACCTCCCAAAACTCCCTCCCAAAACTCCCAGGACCTCCCAAAACTCCCAGGACCCCCTAAAACTCTCAGGACCTCCAAAACCACAAAAAATTCCCAGTAACTCAGGATCTTCCAAGAACATCGGTCCTCCCCTCCTCCTCCCTCCCCCTCCCCATACCCTCCTTCTCCTCTGCCCTTCCCCCATACCTCACAGGACCCCCCGGAGAGGAGCCGCCGCTGGGTCGCCTCATGGTGCGGTAGTCGTGTTTATGAGCGCCACATCACAAGCCTGACTGGTCCTTCCCTCTCCCCTCTCACCCTCTCCCTCCTCCTATCTCACCCTTTCCTCTTCTCCCTCCCCTCCCCCACCCCCCTTCTCTTCTGCCACGCCTGCTTCGCCTCCCACGCGTCCTCCGTCTCCTCCCGGGTTCTGTCAGGATGCGAGTTGACGGAATCCCCACTCTAATGCGGGCAGGACGTGCGGTGATTGGTCCATTTTTTGTGTGTAACGTGGCATTGGCTAGTGTTCTCTCCCTCTCTCGTTTATCTCTCTCTTTCTCTATAAAAAATCCCTATCCATTCATTAATCTATCCACTTATCCACCCATCTATCCAGCCATCCGTTTTTCATAGCCTCCTGACCCGGGCATTAGCTTTCGTGTATTGATAGGTCAAAAGTCAAACATTAGAGGACAAACATTAGAAAGGTCAAACGTTAGAAAGGTCAAACATAGGAGAGGTCAAACATAGGAGAGGTCAAACATAGGAGAGGTCAAACATAGGAGAGGTCAAACATGAGAGAAGTCAAACTTGGTAGAGGTCAAACACAGGAGGTGAAACATAAGAGGTCAAGCATGAGAGGTCAAACATCAAACGTTAGAAAGGTCAAACATAGGAGAGGTCAAACATAGGAGAGGTCAAACATAGGAGAGGTCAAACATAGGAGAGGTCAAACATGAGAGAAGTCAAACTTGGTAGAGGTCAAACACAGGAGGTGAAACATAAGAGGTCAAGCATGAGAGGTCAAACACGAGAATTCAAACACACGAAAGGTCATAGGTCAACTCAGAGGTCAATTACCAACACCACGGGATTGGTCAGTTATTAGAGCCCCTGATATAAACGGCTGACCTGAAACCTGATGTGACCTCAGGGACTTGTATAACGTGACGGTGGTGGTGGCTCGTTAGGTGATGTCAAAGGTCAAGGTCACAGTGTTTATATCAAGGTTGTGTATGTATGTATGTATGTATGTATGTATATATGTATGTATGTATGTATGACTCAGGAAAAATATCTCAGATGAATTAACAACAACAACAACCACCACCACAAACAACAACACGGAAGATAAGAGACGATAAGAAATAATGAATGAGGGAGTAGATCACTGAGGAATAGACCCGAGAGAGAGAGAGAGAGAGAGAGAGAGAGAGAGATCAAAACATCACTCGCTAACCCAGTTACTCTACAAAACAAAGATGGCGGCGATATAACATAAAGACTCACCAGTTACGAGAAAAAAAATCAACTTGAGATAATCTGAGAGTTGCTGAGTCGCTAATGAGGGAAAATACAACAATGGCCGTCATGTGTATGTGTGTGTGTGTGTGTGTGTGTGTGTGTGTGTGTGTGTGTCAGTCTGTCACTCTGGGTAACTGTGTCTCTGTTCACTCAGTTAACAGTCACGGTCTACCACAGTCACCACTCACCTCTAGGCCCGGGACAGCTTGACAGATTCCCACGAGGAGTCTTGTAGGATCACCTGAAGATTAGACACCCTAGATTATTTCACCCGATGATTAAACACCTTAAGGCTAACCTAATCTGACCTAACTTGATTTAGCCTAACCTAACCTAACGCAACGCTAACCTAACCTAACGCAACGCTAACCTAACCTAACGAAACGCTAACCTAATCTGACCTAACTTGATTTAACCTAACCTAACGAAACGCTAACCTAACCTGACCTAACTTGATTTCACCTAACCTAACTTAACGCTAACCTAACCTAATACTAACCCAACAAAATCTAATCTAACCAAACGCTAACCTAACTTAATCTAACTACCTGTTGATATGAGAACGTATCTAATAATTGGCCCATTTAAACAACAACATTCTGAATTGCCCATTTTAAACAACACTCTGATTGGCTCACTTAAAACAACACTCTGATTGGCCCATTTAAAACAACATTCTGATTGGCTCACTTAAAACAACACTCTGATTGGCCCATTTAAAACAACATTCTGATTGGCTCACTTAAAACAACACTCTGATTGGCCCATTTAAAACAACATTCTGATTGGCTCATTTAATCAAAGACAAAATATGATGGTTTAGAAATTTATACTAATATTACCATACTGTAGTCGATAAGGAACTTTATACTGAGTTAAGTGGAAATAAAATCCACATACGATACCTTTGACAATCTGAATTTATGGTTCCTCTCTCTCTCTCTCTCTCTCTCTCTCTCTCTCTCTCTCTCTCTCTCTCTCTCGAGCACTTTATACCTGACGGAATGATTATATATTCTTCCCGTGATCAGTCAAGAATATTAGTGTGTGTGTGTGTGTGTGTGTGTGTGTGTGTGTGTGGGAAGATTGGAAGAAGATTGTTGTCATAATTCAGGCTCGTGACTGGCCAGCTCTTTCCGTGACGTCATAAATCAGATGAGATGTGATTGGTTGATTTAGATAATATAAACAGAGGAGGAAAAACGACATTGAGGTTACTTATTGGTTCCCTACGTTAATGTGAGGGCTGGTGTACTGCCTCTTACCCATTTATCCTGACGAAGGGACACACAAGAAACAAAAACAAAAGAGGAACAACATCATCAGCATGTGTTTGTCTTCTTCGTCTTATTTAATGAACGAGTAAAAAGTTCCTTGACGAGACCATTGATGAAGAATAAGTGTATCATACTGAAGAGCCTTTGTACACGTCTATCTGACTCTAAGGTTAGGTTAGGTTAGGTTAATTAAAGTTAGGTTAGTTAAAGTTAGGTTAGGTTAATTAAAGTTAGGTTAGTTTAATTTAAAGTTAGGTTAGTTTAATTTAAAGTTAGGTTAGGTTAATTCAAGGTTAGGTTAGGTTAATTCAAGGTTAGGTTAAATGAAATAAAGTGGGGTGTATAATCTTCATGTGATCCCAAAACTGAAGATGGCACACATGCTCAGCCTTCAGTACACAAGGAGGCAGCGGCCGGCACTACACACTCACCGTCTTTAGCTAAAATCAGGAAAACATTTACAGAGAGATCGACTGTGGGTGCTCCGGGCGCGAACCAGAGACTCTTAAGACTGGAGACGAGCGTTGTATCCATCCATCCACCTCACCTCTCAGCGAATAAAGGAGATGGTAGGGAGAAAAAGAGAATAAAAGAGAGAGAGAGATAGAAAGAACAGGAGCGTCTCGAGGGAGGGAGATAATGATCGAGAACTTCCCCCACAAGACCACTCGAGTTATTTTCACACAACTTTCCTTTTAGAAGAATTTTTTCAGCGGCTCCGTGTTGACGCGGCCATGGCGGGGGACAAGAGACGAGCCAGATGCGCAGCTGTTGTTTACCTTCAACATTTCAATATAAACATTCAATCTAACATCACAAACCAAGCGTAAACATACAACAAATACTTAAACAGCTCTTAATAAACACAAAAATATATAAAAAGATAATAAATAGAGTTAAGGATTAAAAATACTCCCGGTCGCTTATGCACTAACACCTCACATGCGCCAGAAAATGTCTAACACATCGTGAAGGCACAAGAGGTAAGGCTTGAGATGTGCGTGTTTAAACCCTATCAGTATCGACCTCAGGTTTAGAACTCGTGCCAGTACACACACACACCGCTCGGCAACACCATCTTCAAACAACTCTCCTGACCAAGGTTAAATGGACACCCTTATAAAGACCTTGAGCCTCATTTTGTTTACTCTCCCTTAAACAACAACATGCGGTATATATTACAGTCTTAGTGCAATACCGACGCCATATTGTTTATCATCTTTCTATTAGAGCTTAAATGAGCCAGTTGGATACGTTTTCATAATCTTACCTACACACACATAAGAATTTAAGTTCTGATCTGTACGCATTAGTTGGTTAGGTTAAGTTAGGTTAGGTTAAGTTAGGTTAGGTTAAGTTAGGTTAGGTTAAGTTAGGTTAGGTTAGGTTAGGAGCCATCACTATTGGTTAGAGTTATCGTGTGCATGACGGACGGGGGAACGGAGGGACGAAAATTAAGTACTACCCTGCCAGTTCCTCCTTCCTCTCCCCCTCTACCCCCTGACCTTTACCTGGCGAGATGACTGACGGAGAGTAGGAGGGAAGAGAGGGATGGGAGGGAGGGGAGAGAGGAAAGGAGGGGAGGTGCATGGATCGGTACAAAGCATTTTCAAACACAAGGAGAGAGAGGGTGAAGGGGTGTAATCTGGAGGGAAGGGTAGGGGAGAGGGGAGGAAAGGGAGTGATAGAGGGGAGGGGGGGAGGCGGAGTTTGTACTATGTAGGTGAAAGGGTGATGGTGGTGGTGGGGGGCGGGTGTGTGTGTGTGTGGATGAAGATGGAAGAAATGAGAGAGAGAGAGAGAGAGAGAGAGAGAGAGAGAGAGAGAGAGAGAGAGTAGAGGAGTGACGTGAGGGAGATGGCTGGCACACTGTCTCCTCCCACCCACCTACCCCCACATATTGAAGGGTAAGGTATAGGGATACGGGCCTCAACTCTCGGTGCTTCTACTTCATTACGTATTTCGACAAGTTATCATATATATTGACTATCTAAAGTGCATCCCTTACAAACAACAAATATCCATCTTTATTTTTATATTTTGTGTGATATTACAATACATTACTACACCTAAATACAATTAAAATGTTATATATGTAAGAATTGAACCATTATTATTGTTTTAACTCTACTGCAGACTTGATGTTATTATTACACCACAACACGTGAAAGGCACCTAATTTATCTTTACCTCACACCTCTATCTTATTCTCTACATTACTTTATTAGTCATTTTCGCCTAAACTAGATTTTTTTTTAACGTTGGTGAGTTATAGTGAACGGCGCCATGCTTCTACCTACCGCGTCTGGTAATTTACTGTTGTGTTAGTTACGCCGGCGGAAAGTTATCATCACCCGTTTTCTGTGTTCATCACGCATATCTTAGATCATATTTTTGTTTCATATTAATTATTATTGTTTCATAATTTGAATTTTAACTTGTTTTTCATTTTAAGATTTATTATCCTTCTAGTGTGTTTATTTCTCTGCTTTGGTTTTTCTTATTTTTTACTTCTTTTATCTCATATATCCATCTTTTAACAACAAAAGAATTTAAATTTTCCTTTTTACGTTTTTTCTGAGATGAAAGGAAAGTCTTTTACAAATCAGCTCCCGGGACGCCAGCGTATCAAGCCAGGCCATAAGTCACTCTCTAATTAGCCAGCATTATTATTCCGTCCATTATATTACGCGGTCGAGTATATATTTTTAGCCCGGCGGTCGCTGGTGGTCAATACGCACTAACCCACCACCCGCTCATAATGGCCGCCTTTATTTACAACTCACGGAATGCTGGAACCTTGACCCGCTGATATCCACAGAATTGTCTTTCTGTAATTTAATTTATTTGGGTAAAAAAAATCCGAAAACCCAGAAGACGTAATTGCCGTATTTTTGTTTCTGACGAAGTTTATTTTTTTATTTATGATATTAAATGCGGTTTTTATCAATAAGAATAAACCTACACGAAAAATGAATTCGTGAGGAATAAGATAATTAGTTAAATTATATGAATAAAAATATGAATGTAAACTTTCTGAGGAATAACAAATATATTTTATACACTTTTATAAAACTCACTAATTCATACTTGTATTTCATTGCTTAAAAAATATACGTGAATGAAAATAAATAAAATAAACTAATAACACATTTCCATATATGATTCAGGAGTGAAAATAACTTAACTAAGAAACTTGTTCTATTTTTAAGAGTTTATTTCTGATGTTCTGCGAAGAGTATTGGATTTAGCCGAACCATTTGTAATCCCCCCCCCCCCCCCCGCGCATAAACAGATAAAACAATCACTTCCGTCTGTCTGTCTGTCTGTTTGAGTTTATTATCATGGTCCGCAGGATGAATCAGGAGGGCTGCTATGATGCTTATATTTACCGTGAATATCGCCCTTACTGGTGCCAAGGTCAAGTTCTGATATAAAATTCACTTCCACTATACTACTGTACTCTGCTTGGCTCCTTAACCTAATGACTTCAGAGTGGATGATTACTTCACAAGGGGTCTCTCTCTCTCTCTCTCTCTCTCTCTCTCTCTCTCTCTCTCTCTCTCTCTTTCCTGACTATCGTTTAGTGATCAAAATAAACTAAAGTTCCTAGAAGAAATGTCCTGACAAATTTACGAGCTCTTATCGTGACACTCTGCTTTTTAACATATTTCCAGCAGCATTATATTACAGTGTACGTTGTTTTTGATCACGTCCTACTGAGAAGAAGTTTTTCCGAGAATTATATAATGAAATATTACTGCCTTTACTCTCATGCACGACAGTCTTTAGGCACGACTTCGCCATAAACTGATGACTGTCACACTGAATTCGTGATGAGTGATGCTGCTTTTGTAAGGTAATTACTGGTTAAGTATGTAATTTGCAATACAAAAAATAATACTAATAATACAATATATAATGTATGGCACTTTATATAACAGTCATAGTACTAGTTATCCAATAAATGCGATTTTCTATTACAATTTCGTGTTCGTAAAGTACGACCACCCTTACGTCACAACACGCAACATTGTAGTTAAACAGAGAGAATTGTCTTCTTTAAGCTTTAATTAATCACATGAAGATTAGCACCGAGCTTACTTCACCCTAACGCTACCTAGCGTTAAATAACATAAGCAGGGTATGACCTTCAGGTGATCTACATGAACATTTGTTTCCCTGAGTGTTCACCAACTTAGAGTGTTACCTGCCTGTATTTCGGTTATCGTTTGACGGAAAGCTGACGACTTGGACTACTTTTCCTGTAGCATTATCCGAAAAATCAAGAATACCTCTCCTACATTCAGCAGTTACCCTTGCCAACCAACATCGCTTCTCACTGACATTTTAGTCATACAGTCCTTGCCGTGTCATCCGGGGAGAGGGGGTGAACCCTGCGGGTATATCCACAAAAATAGGCACTTACCCCTGGCTGATAATGGTGGCGACCCACTAAAATAGGTGTTGAGCTTTCCAGGGACAACTATGTGTACTACCCTACGACGGTCGTCCACTGCGTGCCCTAGGGTGTGTGTGTGACAGCCTTAACAACTCATACCATTGTATCATAGCTAGATGATTGTCATACTCGATTCCGAGTGACAGCAAAGTAGTAGTAGTATGTAATGTGTCCCGGAACTAGATAGGAGTCTTTGAGCGACGTTTCACGTTAGTCACACGTCACTACACTTTATATTTTTTTTACTTTTACGCTCATCAATTTAATACTGACGTACATCTTCCTACTATGTTGCCAGATACAAGATGATCGCCAACAGCATGGAGCAAAATGAATGGAAAGTTCCCCCAGACAACACCCTCCAGGTGGTGGACCCCATGGGCATGAATGATGTAAGTCTACACCTTCACTTGTTTCATTCCTTGTTTACCTTGTAGTGTTGACACTGATTGGCTGTGACGCTTTCCCTTTCTATGTAAATATTTGGTATTATTATTATTATTACTATTATTTTACTTTTATTATTACTATTATTGTCAGTCTTTCATCAACAGATCTATATTTATGTTTAATAGCCAGTAGCCATAAGTGACTCTCAGTTATATTAAACCTGATTTACTGTATGCTCGCATATATATATATATATATATATATATATATATATATATATATATATATATATATATATATATATATATATATATATATATATATATACTGTATATGCTTCCTCTAAGCATAACTTTACATGCTTGTAGTTAATAACACTTCCCTTGTATACTGTACATACATTTCAACAAATTTATGTCAGAATATTTTAGAAGTTGTTCGTCAATGACCAAACTTAGTCAGATATTGAATTAATCCCAAGAAACATGTGTTATCACAACACCTCCTCGAGCTACACACATGGCAGGTAATAAACTTACCTTGTACTGGAGTGTTGCTCTATTCATTGTCTCTCTCCTCCATTCCCTCTTCGTGCTGATCTGTTTATCTTTTATCATTAGACGGTTATTTGACTGTTCACTATCCCAAAGTGTCGAGCCACTTGTACTGTTTACGTATTAGGCCGTGGTTGCACTGAGAGCGGGCTGGCGCGGAAGACTTTGCAACAGGCAACAACAACTACCCACTCCCGCCCGCTCTGGTCTGCCCGCTCTCAATGCAGCCGTGGCCTTATGACATTTTCCACGGGTGACATATTTTCCAAGAGTAGCATATATTCTTACAGTGACATATATTCCAAAAGTGACTTATTATGTACAATGTGATATATTTTACAAAGCTTATTTTCAACAAGTAATATTTTCTGTAACTTTTGTATCTTTAGACTGACACAGTTTGTAAGTGACTTTTTTTCCAGAATGACATAATTTCTCTTCCAGTGTGACGGTTTTCAATTGAGTGGGGAGTTTTTCTAAGTGTGACATAATTATTTCCTTTTCAGTGTGACATTTTCCACCATCTCTATTGAACTATTGTCAATATTCACCAATGACAATTAATTTCAACAATTTCTTAATTATTTATAGTATTTTCCAGTATGATTTAAACTCCCTAGATGATTTTTTTCCCCGGTAGGTTAAATTAGTGACGACACATTTCCCGCCTCTCTCACCCCCATACAAATTACCACACTTTGTTCGTTTGACATTAATTTTACCTTCCTCATTAATACCGACTATGCCATAATCTCCCAATATGATACAATTTTCATCTTGTGTCATATTTTTTTTTCCAATCTTGAGTAATAGTTAACTTGAAGTAGAGTTAAAAGTAGTTAGGAGTCTAAGAAATGAAGGCATTCCTCCACATACTGTTTCGGCGGGTTCTTGAATTCTACAATAATGGGGAACATAGTGTAATTTGTCTAACTAAGGTATTCAAGGTTTATTTAAGATTTCAAGGAGTGTATACAAACACAAACTAATACTTATAATATAAAACTCACGGATATCACAGCAAAATATCCCTGTACTGATATTTTCCTTGTAAAAAATTTCTGCTCGGTGATATTATGTGATTTTAAGTGAACATCTTTTAGTCAGGTAGAATCTTAATATAACTCTTACGTCTTACGATATTTTCTGGAGATAGTTTATTATGATTTTAGTTCAAGTGGATTCTTACATCCGTACAGTAATTAATCGATAAATTAGACCTAACTTGTTTTACTTATTACCAGAATTTAAATATCCATTTTTTTTTTATAATTTTCTAAGTTTTCCTGAGGACGTAGTTTCCCAGTGCAGTTTTTTTCCTTGTAATTTATATTTTAGTATAATTTTCCCTGTCACGTATAATTTCCCTATACCAATTTTCTTGTAATATTTGCCCAATAAACCATTTTTTCTGTGATAAATAGTTCCCCCATACATAGTTTCTCGTACTGTATCATAATTTCCCTTAATCTTAATTTTACGATACTTTCCATAAATGAGAGATTTTTCCTGTGCCATAATTTCCCCCAAATAGGTCTTAGTTGTAGTATCTATGTGGTCTTTTTTCTGGTGTTTCTTCCCTTTCCTTATATTTTCCTTCTAATTACCCACATTTTTGGACTTAAGAGCTATTTTTACCTTACTTGACTCCTAATATACTTTTCAGAAACTCATTTTGACAATTCCTTGAGTTAGTTTGTGTACTTGACAAATCGATCTCTGTCTGACACTGCCCACTATCCCTTTACACAACTACACAACATTTGCCTTACAACAATACCTGATCTTCGCTAATGCTTTTCTTCGTCTGTATGTATAAATTTATTTTCTTCTTTACTGATACTATTCAATTTTCTTCACTTAACCCTCCGACAATCTTTTTTATCTCTGCAAAATAAAAAAGTTCTCAATCACATTTATATGAGTTCAGAATCACTAATGCATAACAACAGATGCTCTTTTGTTTTTCTCGCTTATAAACCAAGATAAACCCATGACTTACCTTTGTGATTAATCAGCCACCAGAGGTCACTGAGGTGAAGTGGTTCACGCACTCTGCCCACAGACACTAGACCCTGGGCTGAGCTGTGTGTGTGTGTGTGTGTATGTGCAGTGGTGTGTGTGTGTGTGGGTAACCATAATGTCAGGGACCACAGAGAGCCTAGATATAAAGTACATAGATGTTTGTTTATATTATAATTGGTTTTATATCTTAATTTATTGCTACTGCTGAATCATATACTAATAAGTTATGTCTAACACTCAACAAACGCTGTATATAACTAATTTCACACACACACGCAGACACACACACACACACATACACAAACACAACAAACACACACACAACTTCCTACAAGAAACTAAAAGTAAAGACTAAGACACCCAAATTGTAGACAGCTCTGGAAGGAATATATATGGGGCGAACTTGATATAAGTTAAGATGGATGACACAACCTACTTTTCTCTTTAACTCTATAGGGTTGTGAAATTATACTTATTATTTTTTTTTCTTAATCTATATCTCAGGCATACCTTGAATACCTTGAGTACCTGAGAAAGGAGGAAGAGGTAAGATATGACATAGTGGTGGGCGTGGCTTGTGGGCGTGGCTTTTGAAGGAGGCGTGGCAAAAGAGGGACGTGGGCAGAGGAAGGGAGGGTAGAGGGGAGGACAATAACCCAGGGAGTGATTTGGCAAAATATATGCGTATGTGTGGTAATGGAGTGGTAATGGAGTGCTCTGATTGGTTACGTGTCCACTATAACGTGAGATGATTGGTCCTTTGTCTACCCTGATGTAATCTGATTGGTCCTTTCCTTACCATGACGGGAGCTGATTGGTTCTTTTCCCACCAAACACCTGGTAGGTCAAACAATCAAAATTAAGCCTTTATAAACAGCAAATAAAACCTATTGACACTAACCTTACCTCACCCAAACCTATTCCGACTGACAAGAGAATGATGAGACGTCATGGAGGGCAATCAAGGACCAATCAACACACTCCATACCCTCATACACGTGGATTTTGCTATATCGTGTCCCAGGGGGGGGGGGGGAGGCATGTAGAGTACAGCCATAATCACCATAACCATAATACTGACTAATGACGCTGTTGTGATCCGATTAATTACCAAACTAGAACGAAATTAACCTGAAGCGACTTGAAAGACCTGACGATAGCGGTGGTTTAGTGGTCGTTGTGGTCTTTTACTCACCTCTGTTTCGGTCAGTATCGGTCTAGGTTTGGTAGTTAGAGAGAGACTGATGACGCTGGCTGGCTGGCTGTAGATGGTAGTGGCCGATAGGAGTATAGACCAAGGCAGCTTATTTAACCCACACCACCTGACTCTTAAAGTGGCCACACTGTTTTGATATCACCTGAACATTAGACACACACCCTCAGGTTATTGCACCTGAAGATTAACCACCCTATCGCTAAACCTAAACTAACCTCACCTACCAACTAAACTAAACCAACCTAACTAAACCTAACCTACCCAAACCTAACCTAACCAAACCAAACCAAACCTAACCTAACCTAACCCTCCCCAGGTAGTGTTAGGGTGTTTTATCATCAGGTTGTCCAAATTGTAGACTGACAATATAGATGGATATGCAGTGTGACCAATATAGTCTCCTCTGCCTCGTCTAGACACCTGGACGAACCCACATACACACAATTAATACAATAAAGCTCAGTAATTATAGCAAATGACGTACAATATTAATCCTATAATTCCCAACACTGACATAATTCCTAACGTATGTGTGAATATATAGAACAGATCTATAATTATATATATATATATCATGATATTATATTTACTATATCTTGAAAGTTTATCCCAAAAAATTATATAACAATTATATAAATTCATTTCAGTTATAGGAATTATTACACAACATTCACTAAACAAATTTAATATATAATCTTTCCTAATGTAGCTTAGAAAAGGATGGATATATTATAGTGATCTTATATAGTCTACCAACTTAATGATTCGTAAAAAAAAATGTTTATTTACGTTAATCAGCTGTTTAGTGTCAACACGGTTTATCTACACAACTCGGTCGCTTAGTGTCCGTGCTAAGGAGTGTTGGGTGGTCAGAGAGTGAAGTTCTCTCACACGTCTCTCAAACTCGTTTCTCCACCAAACAATAATTAAAAATAAAAACATTCATAAAACTTCTCCCAAAACTTGTAATACTAAATTTTAACTATTATATCTGACTTCTTATCAATATTCACATATATTCATCTTAATTAAAACATGTAATAAAGTTTTAATGAGATCAGATACAAAATAAAACACTAAAATAAAACAGTTAAACACCTACATATAACAACAGCCAAACAGTAAGCTGCTATTATTCTAAAACAGCTGATAGTGTTGTGTGACAAAGCTCTTTTTATACCTTAATAATGGCGGCCAAAGAGGTGAGTGACTCTACGAACCTAAATCACATTCTATAAACGCATGATAGAGGGTACATTTTAACATATCGCTAAATACCGAATTGAATTATAATTAACAAAGCCTTAACACATAACATTCAAATACCTGTATGTCAAATTATATATATGTTTCTCCCAGTAATTACAGGTAAGACAATTAGGTGTTAAGGAGTTAGAGTTATTAAAATTAACTTAGTATTTTAACGTAATGTTATATAAAGATATTAACTCAAGGTTAATTATTTGGTTATAATTGAAAAGTAAATATATGGAATCCTATTAGAAATTTGCTACATCTCTCACTAAAAATAAAGTCATTACAAATATTTTCTTTTAAAGTGTGTGTGTGTGTGTGTGTGTGTTAGTGCATGTATGTCTTTATAAGCCTGTATGTGTGTGTGTGTATAAAAGTTATGTACGCGTGTTTGTGTATGACTGTGTGTGTGACTGTGTATGACCACAAACTAACAATACAACTCTGAACACTTACATTTATAATTTCTCTATGTATTAAAATAAAACCCAAGACGATACAATATGAAACATCCTTAACAAACACGTACACATATCACCATAAACTTTCCTTCAAATAATGATTAATAAAAGAACTAGTATACAAGTGTAATCATACAGGGACACGTATAATTAATAATTTTTCTTGTCTTTAATCAACAGAAACACAAACATATATCAGAAACAAAAGATATATCTCTAATTTTTATAATTCAAAACAAATTAGCCAATATACTCTTTAACATGAACAAGAATATAATCACCCAAATTTCTTTTAAATCTACAAAATTAACAAATCGACACAGAAACAAATACAAACAGAAAATAATTTCATAATATTACCCAAATACACAAATAAATTTAAAACTACAAACATGTTTTGTTTTTTTAATAAACGTAAGAAAGGCACAAACGAACACGTTCTTTAAAACCCCTAAACCAAATCTTTATGCTAAAACCCTCTCCTCCCGCGCTGTGTGTCTGGTGACCGCAGGAAGCCGACGGTCCCAAGAGAAACTGGAGCGGTATTTTCATCTCGCTCGGCATCATCGCCTTCGTCCTACTCATGGTCACTGCCGCTACTTTCATCGTGGGCGAACCTCCTCCAGCCTTCTATGGCAGGAGATTAGTGGTGACAGATCTCCAGAACCCAGAGTTGATCGCGTCACCTATGGGTACTCAGTGGGTGACAGGTAGGTACTCATAGTTATATGTGGGTACTCAATGGGTCACAAGTACGCACTCTTAGTTATGCGGATACTGTACTCAGTGGGTCACAAATAGCTCTTCGTAGTTATGTAATACAGACTTAACGGTGTACATATTAATATAATCTATATAAACACATTTTTACCTCCTCATTATTGATATTTACAGCTATGTAATTAATTAATGTTCGATATTATATATATATATATATATATATATATATATATATATATATATATATATATATATATATATATATATATATATATATATATGGGAAAATAAACAACGAGTACCTTAGCTGCTATTCAAGATGTCTTGAATAAAGACGAAAGCTAAGGTACCTGTTTCATTTTCCCAATCAAGATTTATCTTATCCACGTTTTCATTGTGGAATTACATGAAATATATATATATATATATATATATATATATATATATATATATATATATATATATATATATATATATATATATATATATATATATATATATACAGTAGAGGAAGATGAGATCAAGTCCACAATAGTCAGGTTATTAGGTAGTGACCCTACTAATCTTCAAAAAGCAACGCAGCAGTCGGTAGTCAGGTCAGAGGGTAGGATTGCCCAACCTTCTCACCTGGTTACAAATCTTCTTAATTACGAAATTATCCAGTTTGTACATACCATTACTCAAATTCATGTTGACGTATTCGGTATGTTTAATGAGACTAGATTCTATGATGTTCCTACTATCAATTGAATTACAAGGTAATATTGAGGAGGCCTTATCCCAGTCAATGCAATGCTTGTTATCCCTCAGATGAACAAACAGAGCATTGGATTCCTGGCCTGTCCTAACACTATATTTATGTTGTTTAAGTCTAGTTACAAGATCTTTACCTGTCTGGCCAAAGTAAAACATACTACATTCCTTGCAAGGAACTTTATAATTGCAGCCACCTGTATTGCTGCATTGTTGGGGGAGTTCTTGATTAACATTTGTTTAACAGTGCAGGAGTTTTTAAATGCCACATTGACGTTCCAGGTTTTTAGTTGTAAAGGGATTTGAGAGAATTTTTTTTGAAATGGTAATACTAAGAGATTCTCACGGTCATGGGTGGGCTTGGTATCGGTTCTATAAAAAGATTTCTAAGTAATGTTCAGGCATATCTCGTGTGTTAGCCCAGCGAGTCAGGGCTTGGCGTAAAAGTCTACGGTCGTGGGCTGCCACATTTCACTATCTCCCCTGTTGATTCTATTACTAAGACTCAGACATAAACTATAACTCCATTACAGCCATTTAATTATAGGTCATGTAAGATTGATGCAGATTATATTGGTGTGCTCATATAAAATAATATATCTCTAAATTATTTACGTTACCCATACAAATACCAGATGCTACTGTTTTCCTTAAGGCTCAATAATACCATTTTCTGTGACTTAACCAGCACAGACAATAGAGAATTTATCCAATTATATCCCAGTAAAAATACTCCTTACTTTGTTGTTTTTCTTTTTTCTTTCTACCAGGTCATCAGTTGGCGTACCTGTCAGAGGGTGAAGGTATCCGTCTACTAGACACTGATACCAACGTCAACACAACACTCGTTACCAACATTGCTCTTGTAAGTTAGTTAGTTTAGTCGTTATTACACTAAATAAATATTAACACACTGGCCTATTTCACCCTTGATGATATTATACATATTGTACAAATAATTATTTTGTTAATTATGTAATTTCAAAAGTTTGTATTTATATTTTTCTTGATATGTATCTAATTCTTTATTTGTCTCCTCAACGTGTGTGTGTGTGTGTGTGTGTGTGTGTGTGTGAGCAGCACCAGACAGGGGCGGCAGAGTTCGCTGTGTCGCCTAACTTACGTTATGTCCTGCTGGTCCATGACGTCATCAAGGTAAGCCCTGCCCATCCTCTCCTACGTCACAGTTACTCATGTCGTCATCAAAGTAACCACTCACCCCGCATAATCTAATAAATAACATCAATAATTCCTTAATGTACGTCAAAATGATGAAGAATTCTAAATCATTACCTTTAAAATACATACAATGGTTGTTTAACGTAATTACGACTTCAAAAGGTTGTTTTAAGGTTTACAAAATGGCGGGATATTGTTGTCATGTGTATACAGAAAACGTCTGTATACTTATATAACCTAAAATCATTTTAAGCCATTATTTTGTCACTTACACATGAAAAAATCTGGTTGAGTATACAGTACCTTGACCCTTGACCTATTCCTCCCTAGGGCAGACTGTACACACGGACGGCAGAGTACAGCATATATGACGTCACGACAGAGTAAGTTCCTGCTAGGTTAAAGTAGATTTGATGTTGTTGAATCAAAACATTTTTAATGACATAGTGATGGAATATATTATTATTATTATTGAATCAAACCATTATTTCTCCTACTTTTCATTCCTCTACCACCCACCCACCCTATCTTCCCTCACCCACATAACCACCCTTCCTTCTATCCACCCTCCATTCACCCTCTCCCACCCACCCACTCACTCTCCCTCTCTCCCTCAGTCACTACTACCCACTCAAGCTGTGGCGTCATGAGGTGGGTCACCCTAGATACCAACATGCAAACTGGGTGGGGGAGGAGGGAGCGTCTCTGGTGGTGGTGAACGAGGCTAATGTTTACATGGTGAGGTCCCCTAACGCCAGCCCTATTGTCCTCACCGATGACGCCGTCCCTAACTTACTGTACAATGGCGTTCCTGACCTCTTGTACGAAGGTGAGAGAAAGAGAGAGAGAGAGAGAGAGAGAGAGAGAGAGAGAGAGAGAGCTAGTTGAATAAAGGTATAGAAAAAAACAGTTCAGTGATGTACCATAATTTTGACATACGGGACAATATAAACCAACTCCTCCTGCAGAAGGACTTGACACATCCTAGCAGTATATCGTGTCCTTATACAGAGATCCTAGGGCAGGACAACGCCGTGTGGCCCAGTCCTACGGGAGACTTCATCGCTGTGGCGTCCTTCAATGAGACAGGAGTGAGGGAATTGCCCGTCATCGAGTATTCCGACAATGTGTATCCTACAGTACATAGTTTAAGATATCCTACGGTGAGTCCTACCTTGTCCTGGTACTATTAACAAATCCTACGATGATTCCTGTCTTATCCTGTTACTCTCAAGGGGTCAAACCCAACTATACCCTTGTCAGATTTGGTTAGATTAGGGTTTTAAGGATAGTTAGGTTAGGTTAGGTTAGGTTAGGTTAGGTTAGGTTAGGTTAGGTTAGGATAGGATAGGATAGGTTAGGTTAGGTTAGGTTAGGTTAGTTGGTATACTGTTCAAAACAAAACTTCTACAAATTCTTAAACTAAGTGTTGTGTATGTTCAGTCAGGTTAGGTTAAGTCAGGTTAGGCTAAGTTAGGTTAAGTTAGGTTAGGTTAAGTTAGGTTAGGTTAAGTTAGGTTAAGTTAGGTTAGGTTAAGTTAGGTTAGGTTAAGTTAGGTTGGGTTAGTTTAGTTGGTATACTGTTTAATATCTTCTCTTAATTCTTTAACTAAGTGTTGTGTATGTTAAAATAATCGTTATAATTCATGTACACTAAGTGGGATGTGTTGGGCAGGTGGACACGATAATTCCGGAGGTGTCGGTGTGGGTGTACGACCTTACCTCCAGTAGACAGCCGCCCCCCAGGACCAGACTCGTACCTCCACCTCCCATCAACGAGTAAGTACCTTCCCTACACCTCCTCCTCCTGCCTCTCTCTCTGTCTTGAAACTCACACTAAAATCCCCCAATTCACTTCTGCATTATCCTCCGAGTGGATTTTTAATGAACAAATATATTTTCTATATTTCTTTTATAAATATTTTTTCTGGTTTATATTGAGTCTATTTGAAGCTTTTATATGAGACTGTAGAGATACTTTTGTTTAGTGCTAATAGAGTAAACTGTACACAGATGTAAGTTAGGTCTACGCGCATGACCATTGTGTTTATATATAAAGAATTATATTAATCTTAAACCCTTCAGGACGGATTTAACGATAAAACATGATTTTTTTTTAACACTAACATTAATATTTAACGTTAGATTTTACAAAACAAGTAATTAAAGCAGAATGGTAATATTTTTAGATACTAACATTATATTCCCTTGTTTAAGCGACCACTTGTTGACATCCACCACCTGACACAACACAGCGGGATACAGTATATTCGTTAACTATCCAGTACCGTACAAGCCTAAGTCTTTATTATTGTTATTATTATGTTGCTTAATGTTGTTCCCCTTCATAACTAAGTTTAAGTTTGGTTCAGTTTGATCTTTAAGGCCAGTAAATGACGGTATAACAAGCTGTGAGTGCTGCACTGCTACACTGGATAGAACGAATATGTGGCGGGCAGTGAGGAGCCCCCGTCCCTGGCTCACTCAGTGTAAGGTCTGCCGTCCACCGCCTGACGACAGGGTATAGTTCATAAGGTATTGAGCACCTTGTTACACACTGCTCCGTGTTCAATGTTCAATGTTCCTGTAGTTCTTGTTACCCCTGTAGTTGTTAGAATGTTCCCTGTGTATATTTCATTATAAATGTTGATGTTAGTACGTCGTCGTGTTCTGCTGTAACACATAATGGCATCTGTCCTTGTGAATGTTTAATATTTGGTAGTTTTTATCTCTCTAGTACCAAGATGGAGGGCTATAACGTCCATCAATGTCGTGTTGGTATCATATATTCAAGCGCCCGTTGGTTTAGAGGTCATATTAGGGAGTAAGATATACTACACCTTCAGGACAATAACTTAACCTATTGAGTACGATAACTTAACCCCTTGAGTACGATAACTTAAAACCATGATTACGATAACTTAAACCCTTGAATACAATAATTTAACCTATTGAGTACGATAACTTAACCCCTTGAGTACGATAACTTAAACCCTTGATCACGATAACTTAAACCCATGAACAAGATAACTTAAACCCTTGAGTACGATAACTTAACCTATTGAGTACGATAACTTAATCCCTTGAGTACGATAACTTAAACCCTTGATCACGATAACTTAAACCCATGAACAAGATAACTTAAACCCTTGAGTACGATAACTTAACCTATTGAGTACGATAACTTAATCCCTTGAGTACGATAACTTAAACCCTTGATCACGATAACTTAAACCCATGAACAAGATAACTTAAACCCTTGAGTACGATAACTTAACCTATTGAGTACGATAACTTAATCCCTTGAGTACGACAACTTAAATCCTTGAGTACGATAACTTAACCCCTTCACTACGATATTTTAATCCCTTTACAGTATTTTTGTTTAAGTGTTTAGAGTCGATGTTTATTATTGTTTACTGTTTATTAAATTGTTTACTGTTGATCATGTAGCTGTATTTCATTGTAGTTTGTCACCTGTTGTTGTTGTTGTAGTTGTTTGCCGTTGAAAATGATCTTGTTGTTCCTGTTATTGTAGTTATTTGACAGTGAAAATTATCTAAGTGTTAATTATCTGTTAGTTAATCTGTCTGTTAGTTAATATGACTGTTAGTTAATCTGCCTATAAATTTATCTCTGTTCGTCTTTCTGTTAGTTACTCTACCTACTTTATCTGTTGTGTAGTGTATTCCTGTACATCTACCTGAGGTCTTAAAGCAATAGATCAGTTAATAAATTCTCTAAATTTTACAAAACTTAAAAAATATAATAAATAATTCCTTGATATGAGGTAAAATGTTGTTTTAATGTCCTCAAGCGCTACAGCTACAAGGTCGGTTAAACACATATCACCGAGGCAGTTAAATCCTCAGGCATATATGACAATCAAATTTATCTCTCTTTAGTAACATCTACAGTATGACAAGTTTGAGATTTCTTACCGTGAAAATATATATTATTACGGTTTATTTTTTTGGGGAAGATGGATCAGTTTATGAAGTTTGTGAGTTAATAATAAGTGTAGTGAAGCAAAATAATCGTGACTTGTTTCGTGGTCTGACGCAGCAGCGGTGTTGGTGGCGCGGCGTCTTCGTTGTCTAGTTCCAAGTGGCATTATCTGATTATTTTCGCTATTTTGATTATAATTACATTCATTTCTTCCATTCTTTCGGACGTTAATTATTTCCTTTCGTCACTTCATTCTCCTATTCATTTGTTTCGTCTTTGAAGCCTTATTATTAATTAACATAAATAACATAATTTTTTGTTGTTATAATGTATTAACTTAATTACACCTCAATCAATATTTGTCTAATGAAATATCGTACAGGTAATTGAAGGTGAATCATCATATATCATCGGAACACCTGAAGATTAAACGCTAACCTATTTCCACCTAATAATTCAATGCCCTAACACTAATCAAAGCTAATACTAACCTAACCTAACGCTCAACTAACCTACCTAGACGTACCAAAGCCTAGTCTCCTCCCAAGTAGCGTTAGGATGTTTAATTATCAAGTAAAGTAAGCTAAGGTGTTCCGTAGCAACATTACCTGACGTCTTGTATAACTGTTCCCTTAGTTGAATATATTTACTATAGCACCCTCTTATGATACCACTATTTACCTATTATATAACGTTTATGTACCTATTATATACTTGCTTATATCCCTATTTATATACCTATCATATACTTGTTATATACCTGTCATATACCTATTCTATACATGTCATACACCTGTTATATACCTGTCATACACCTGTGTTTTGGATGACTGTTGTTCACCTTACCTGTCCCTTCCTTAATTAATATACTTCACGTTCTGTTATATTGAAGGTTATTTTAGTGGCTCAAAGTGTGTGTGTGTGTGTGTGTGTGTGTGTGTGTGTGTGTGTGTGTGTGTGTGTGTGAAGATGATTACATAGCTCTTGCATAGATCCAATGACACACTATAACCCCCCTCCACACACACACACACACACACACACACACACACACACACCAAACTAAACATCTTTAACAATATGTCTATAATAAGTATACCTACCAGAGCATGCTATAAAGAGTATGTCTAATGGCTAACCTACAGTATATAGTGTCTAATAAGCCATACTGTACCTCCGTGTTTATACGTCTGGCAGCGTTGTTGTTGTTTTGGTCAGTCTATTAATCTTTGGTATCGTGTGAGTTGGTCTCCTTGACAACTAATTAATTATTTTCTATTGACATGTTATGGATTTCTTCTACTTTACCTTTGTTAATGAATTATATTTAATTCATTATTTTTTTATTATAATCTAAGAGAAACATGTACCAGAAGAAGATTATAGGAGGTATATAATTTGTCTATTACACTCGACTGTTAAATTATATCAGAGTGTTGGTATCACTGATTATATCACCTTATGGTTCACTCTATAATCATTTTCTGAAGACTTAACTATCTCCCATTATCTATTAGTTCACTGTGTATAAGGGAACCCCATTAACTACGATCTCAACCACAGGAGTGTCTAACTAGGTACCCCATTATGTATACTAAGGCATGCTGTAGCTTCCGGTGGAGTCACTAATTAGAGGTGAACTGGAAGCAACATTCATAGATGTTTAACCTGTGAGCGTTAATATTGGACGAAGCCTTGGGTATAATTAGCTTCTTGGAACACACGTCTCAGTGGCTCAGAGACGGGAGTTGAACTGGTGATAGCCGGCTACTTTAATTGATAACTCTACGGCCGAGGTGTGAGGGTACAGTGGGAATACAATGTCATGTGTCCACTTAATGACTACTCACGGCTCATAGTTACCGTGGGTGATGTAATTATATAAACCTAATGTATGTAACCCACATTTATTGCTGTGTGTTAGACCGGGGCTAATACAGGGAGCAAATTAACGACGATCTTCCGCGTTGATCCCATTACGCATTATGAGAGACTCCCATTAACCAGGTGTCCCCCCCCCCCACAGGTCCCATTACCTGGTCACGGTGGGGTGGGTGGACGGGTCGACAGTGTGGGCGTCTTGGGCCTCGAGGGACCAGACTACGGCCATCCTCTCCACCTGCGATCACCAAGCTCTGTGGAACTGTTCTCTGGTGAGTCTTGGTGGAGAGAGAGAGAGAGAGAGAGTGAGAGAGTACACTTATGCCAAGAAACAATGTAAACAAGAGATCATAGGAACTCCACCACGACTCTTGCCATGCCCTCAGGTACACGAGAACCACAAGGAGGGGGGCGGAGTGTCGCCTGTGGTGCGGTCGGTGGTGTGGGCGGGCAGCTGGGCAGTGTTCCCTTGGTCAGTGAGGACGTTGTCTGGCGCCTGGCACAACCACGTCGCTCTGGTGGGCGCGCGCGAGGGCCGGCATGCCCCACTCACCCTGGAGGATTACCATGTGACTGAGGTCCTCGGCTACGTGCTCAATGACAGCCTCGTCTACTTCAGGGGCTCAGGTGAGACACAGGGCCAGTGATGTTGTCTTGGTGTACCCTTTGAGAGGGGAGGGCAGGGCAGGAGAGGGCAGGGCAGGGCAGGGGAGGGCAGGGGGTCGTCTTATACAAAAGTTGTCAAGAGAGATGCCATTAAATTTGTCCCTAAGATTATGATGTTACTCACAATCGTTATATATGGCGCTGCTGCCATTACAGTTGTTAAAAGAGATTATATATATAAAAGCATTTAATGGATTAGAAACTGACTTAAAAATCTATATCAGGTGAGATAAACATTGCATGAGTGTTAAAACCTTCCTCTGGGCAGAGCTGGAGAACGGGGCAGGTCGCCAGCAGGTGTACAGTGTGTCGATGGGGCACCAGAAGGTCTACTGCATTACCTGTCACATGGGGTGCCCCTACGTGATGGCTTACCCCAGCCCCACTCTTACACATATTGTGGTCATCTGTACGGGCTCCGACCTCCCTTCCTCACACCTCCTCCCCCTTGATGGAAGTGGCCCCGTCGTACCTCTAAACAAACAATCTAAACTAAGGTGAGTTACCTCTGTTGTACCATCAGAGTCTAGGTGTGTTAAACTCTCTCTAAGGTCTGAGGTTTGGTTATGTTTAGAGGAGTTACCCGTCCAAGACCCGCGTTTTCTATAATTCAGTAACCAAGTGAGATCGAGGACTCCTATATTTGAGAATTACTTTATCTTTTTATACGTATCATCCCAACATATATACTACACCATTACACTCACTGCTGGTTGAACCTTACTGTACGAGTCACTCCGGACTGTTGTAAGCTTTGTAAAATAATCTGGTATCACTGCTGGGTCACAGGTTGGCCCTGAAAGACTTGGCCCTGCCCATAGTATACTCGATGGACGTGGCCCTGGCGCCGGCCCTACATGCTGCCGTTACCCTCACGCTTCCCCCTGGCTGGTCCAAAGATGACGACACCCTCCTCTTCCCCCTCGTCGTCCAGATGTGAGTTATCTCTCTCTCTCTCTCTCTCTCTCTCTCTCTCTCTCTCTCTCTCTCTCTCTCTCTCTCTCTCTCTCTCTCTCTCTCTCTCTCTCTCTCTCTCTCTCTCTCTCTCTCTCTCCCCTACGTCTAAAGATGCCTCTCCCAATTTAATCATAAAATTTCGCCTCCTTCATATCGTTTACGACAGTCTTTATCACACAAGTAAACATTATTAGCTGTTGTCAGGGATAATTTATATTGTATCTGTTCTAACGGGCATCATACCTCAGGCACCTGCAGTCGCTGAACTAAGTCACAAGTCCCCTTTGTAACACACTACTGATGTGAGCTCTTCCTCCTGGTGGTGTAGGGTCGGCCCGGCAGAACAGGACGTGGAGGAGAGACTGTGGCACCTGGGATGGAAGGAGTACCTGTCTTCGGGTCACCAGGTCGCCCACGCCCGGGTCCAGCTGTGGGGAGGCGACCCGTCCACCCGCGCCTCCACTCACACCCTCGCCCAATACCAGTCGCGGGTCATACAGTTAGTACCATCAATCACCAGTCTGTGCCAGTTCAAGTTCACTCAGTCAAAACCATTGTATACAGTCAAAGACAGTAGTACGTTGTCATTACTCAAACAGTTAGTACCACTCTAGTTAACGAGTGTCATTCCAGAGTCACAGAGTCAGTACAAACAAAGGCGATGGCTGATACCTGCAGTGTAGGACCGTAAGTTTTAGTTGTTTTATAAGCGACAGAAGTGAGGAAGTAGAAGCTGTGGTTATTACACTAATAGGCCAAACAAAAAGACAATTTCTTGTATTCCGTGAAGATTAACCACCAATTTCCGTGTTTCCAGGATGATATAAAAAATTGTCTTGTGTTCCAGGAAGATGCTGCAGCAGTTCGACTTCCTAGATCCCCTGAACGTGGGTGTGTGGGGGTGGGGGTCAGGAGCCTCGCTGGCCGTGGACGCCGCTGCCCTTGCCCCAGATCTGCTCAAGTGTGTGGCTGCTGTCAACCCCGTGGTAGACTGGCGGGCCCACGGTCAGTTCCTTGTCTCTCTCTCTCTCTCTCTCTCTCTCTCTCTCTCTCTCTCTCTCTCTCTCTCTCTCTCTCTCTCTCTCTCTATTTTCCCCGTCACTCTCTCTTCCTCTTCTCGTCTATTCTTAAACAACAATTGATTGCTTCCATTACAGCACATCGGAAATTACTTTTGCTTTTGGTTGTTATCTGAGAATTACAAAAACATTTAATCGGATTCAATTCGTAAATCCGAATTGGGACAACAACCAAATTTCCCTTCAAATAAATCTGAGTTTCCATCTATCATCATGTTTCCTCTTTCATCCTTCTCTTTTCTCTCTTTACGTTTCCAGGCTATCTCACTCAAAAGACGTTCACACTCTCTCTCTCTCTCTCTCTCTCTCTCTCTCTCTCTCTCTCTCTCTCTCTCTCTCTCTCTCTCTCTCTCTCTCTCTCTCACTCCCTACTCTCTCACAGGATCGTTCTGGGCGGAACGTCTTTTGGGGTCAGCGGAGAGTGAGGGGTCAGGTCGCCGGTACGAGGACAGTGACTTGACCCGGTTGGCACCACACCTAGGGGCTAACAGAGTGCTGCTAGCCCACGGCACCCGCGACCCCTCCGCCCACCACTCCTTCCTCCTGGCCCACGCCCTCATCTCCCAGGAGTCCTACTTCACTCATGTGGTACGTCTCTACACACGCCCGCCCTCACACACGCCTACTCTGGTTCCTTCCCTTACACCCACACCTGTACTCTCCGATTAAGTCTCACGCCCGCGGTACTCTACACGCCCACCCCCTCACTTACACACGCCCACCACCCATCACCAGGACCTGTATTCTCAAAGTTCGGCAAATTTATACGAGTAACTTTGTCCGCGATACCATTTTGGCGACCATAACCTCGCGAATTTGATCTAAGAGAGTTACCCAGTGAACTATTGAACATAATATACTACAAATATCCAGGAAAATTTTGTGATATGTTACAATTTTTCTTCTGTAGCATCGTCTTCGTGTAGTTTGTACGACGATTGAAATAGTTAGACGGTAGAAACTGTACGATCTATTCTACAAGTTGAAATGGCGGCAGATTGTACGGTACATCACTGCCAGACGTATGATATTATTGAAGTACAAACATAAGGCCTGACCCTGACACACCAGCCTCAGAGGTCAACACTTGAGCTTACAATAACATAAGCAAGTAGATTATTTTACTTTTCTAATCTAAGCTAAACTAAATTCCAATATATTTGGGTTTTTTTATTTATAAAGCTTTTTTTTTTACTTTATATGTTTGTTTGTATGACAGTTTTGTTTTGCTTAACAGACATAAATAATTATTAAACACAACTGCCTTATTTATACTGTTATATAATTCAAGAAAGATTAATTAATTACTGTGTTGCCTTAGATAAATAAACATATTTAATTATCATTTACGTAGTATATTTTAATTACTATTATTTCTGCTTCAGCCTCCACCTATATACTGTAAGTCCCTCCGCTTCCTCCCTCACATAAACACTCATTATGTCTCCCATTTTTCACACTATATTTTTTTCCAGATCTTCGTTCACTTTTTTCTTTGGCAAAATACTTTTAATTAATATTTATGCTTTTACCACAGTCCTAAGTACTAATGTATAACTACAGCTGTACTAAAGGTGAATAACTTGACACATATACACTATGAACACCTTGTATAGTATATAGTTAGTTCCTTTACACTTACACCCAACCACGTACCATGTAGTATAGTTACACATACACCCACCGACCTATATACAGATATACCAACGATATAACCCGGGTAGTGGGGGCTCCTACAGGTATACCCACGATATAACCCGGGTAGTGGGGGCTCCTACAGGTATACCCACGATATAACCCGGGTAGTGGGGGCTCCTACAGGTATACCAACGATATAACCCGGGTAGTGGGGACTCCTACAGATATACCAAAGATATAACCCGGGTAGTGGGGGCTCCTACAGGTATACCCACGATATAACCCGGGTAGTGGGGACAGATATACCAAAGATATAACCAGGGGGGCTCCTACAGGTATACCCACGAAATAACCCGGGTAGTGGGGGCTCCTACAGATATACCAAAGATATAACCCGGGTAGTGGGGGCTCCTACAGGTATACCCACGATATAACCCGGGTAGTGGGGGCTCCTACAGATATACCAAAGATATAACCCGGGTAGTGGGGGCTCCTACAGGTATACCCACGATATAACCCGGGTAGTGGGGGCTCCTACAGATATACCAAAGATATAACCCGGGTAGTGGGGGCTCCTACAGGTATACCCACGACGCCTTACCACTGTTTCCCCCTCTCATAGGTATACACGGATATGACGTATCAGCTCACGTCAGTCCGGACTCACTTCTACAATATCCTGGAGCGCTTCATGCTTCAGAAGTCCTGCCTCGACAGTCCCCTCAAAAGGAAGATCACTCTCGACTGGTAGTGACGTCAGTAAAAACAACAACAAAATCTTACCGTGTGTTTCTCGTCAGGTTGTTGATGCGTGGTGTGTTGTCCAGCCCGGCAGACCACAAGGGCAGGTCGCCAGCACCGTAACGCGATGTTTACACTGGAAAAAAAAAACTTTGAATAGAAAAATAGTAACATAGATATGTGTTGAAATATCGTTTTTTTTTTCTCTAGACTTTGTTTTTTTTGTGAGATGTTGAATGCCAGTTGAGGATGACGAAGATGTAGAGATTATTGATCATGTTCCCGAGTTATTTAGAACTTTTGTAATGTTTCCCTAAAAAATATATATACTGTATATGACATTTAGTTCGTAGCAATAATAACGTAAACGTCCGTGCTGTAGTGTGCGTTTGTGTGTACGTGTGTGCGCATGTCGATTCATGACTGTTTTACCTTAACGTGTATGTGCGTACAAGTGTATTCCTCTTTTTTTCAGGTGTACACAGACGACGACTACATGCTGGACCTCAACAGATACCACCTCATCAACGCCTTCAACAAGTTCTTCTTCACCTGCCTACATGACCCCCTCGAGTATGAGTTAGAGAACCAGTGAGCCGCCCTCACCCACCCACCCGCCCACCACCCACTCACTCAGGATGGCAGCCTTCACCTCACCTCACCAATCAACTTTGTCTCCTGCCATCTGAGTTCAGTCAACTCACAAACGCTAATTGATATGTGCCTGATTAACTTATTTGTGTTAAATTACCTTATCTGGGTTAGATTACGTTACTATGGTTAGATTAAGCTAGGTTTGATTAGCATATTTAAGTTAGATTCTGACATTTGAGTTAGATAAACTTAGCTTATTTGGATTTACGTCTGATTAGATTAGGTTAGTTTTGGGGGTTAGGTTAGGTTAGTTTAAGTAATTATTTGGATTATCTGAGTTAATTATTTATATCAGACAGGTAATTTAGGTTAGTTTAAATAATATTAGGTAAGGTTGAAAACTTGGGAGCCTTGCCTACAATCACTCCACATTAAAAGCTGAAATATTTATTACCCCCAACTGATCTTGTTTTCATATAGTTTGTTGCACTGTACAGTTTACACATATAAAGAATTCATCACCAAGTAGGGGCCGTACCCATGGTCTCTAGACTCAAAGATAATAACAGTCCTTTTGGAAACTTAGAGGGACGCGGGGCTAATATATTTTATCACTGCTGGTGCGGTGATGCGGACACTAAGCTTATATTGTACAAACTAACTTAGCTCTGCTCTATTTATAAAAAAAAATTATTTTATTATTAACATTATTTAAAAGACGGCGGGACTATAGAAATGTTATTGTGATGCATTTAGTTTCCGCAACCAAACAAAATTTCAAATGTTTTAAAATAGATTTAATTGTTCCTCCATGTTTGGGGTGGTTGTGGCCTGTGTACTGTCTCTGGGGGCTTTTGTGTGGCTAGCTTCCTTATGTGGTTAACTAATGTTTAATATTTACATTTATTCATACTTGGTGATTCGTACTCTGCGTTTAGGAATTAAAAAATATTATTAGTAAACAATACGACCCGCGCCCCTTTATGTGATATAATAATAAACATTGTTATACAATGTTTGTATATTTGACGATTTGTAAATATCTTACAAACTTAATAGTAGATGTTTTTGTATTTATTTCCAGTTGTCCTCTGATTCAATGTTTTAGCCTTGAGTCAGAGCAGTTAAACTTCTGCTAAGAACAGGATGTTAAAGTAATGTTAAAATACTGTAATGATGTAAATAACATCCACGCTTAAGATAAACAGTACTGTAGAGGTGTGGTTGACAGGTAAAGACGACTTCTTTTGTTGTCAGGTTTGTGAATGTTGTGTCCAAGAGACTTCCTATACTGTACTGTACTGTACTCTGTTTTATAATGCTTACATGAAAAAGAAAGTTGTCGAGATAGGTGAAACTGAGGAAGAGAAATATGTTGAGTAAATAAGAGATAATTTACATTGTAACTGAAACACCAATGAAAAATATCAGTTAGAGTAGATATTCATATAAATTGTATTATTAAAGTGTAAATTGACTAAGTAATTGATTTTAAAAATTTCAGTATGTTGGAAAATGTTAATGATGGTAATATTTAGGTAAGACTTAAGTAAGTTCCGCCCCGTTCCTTGTGACAAGTTAATGGCGACTAAATTAACACTGAGTCCCCAGGATATAACTAACATATAAACAGGTGTAAGTCACTCACAGTTGTTCATTACACTCAGAAATATCTCCAAGGTTTGATAAAGCTTAAGAGGTAATTACTATAATAAAGAATTACCTTCAAAGTTTGGTATGGTTAAGAACTATTGTTGCTACAGTTTGGCGTTATAAATACAGGCGTGGAGAACGACTCTGGCGAACACCGTAGAAGATCGTGTTACAAGTGGCCACCCTGAACGATGTTATATGTACAGTGGTATGTCAAAAAATACTTACAGTATTTATCAACTAACTCAGACAACGGGTGGCTGAGTTTAACAAGACCGCGGGAAGACTGGCCACATAGTAAAAAAAAAAAATAATAGTTTATGCTTACAACATATTTTCTGTTTTAAGACAGATTTTTAAATACTTACAAGTTTAATATCCATGAAGGGTGTACCATACTGTACTCATATACACTGTCAACAGTAAAAGCTGGTAAGATCAGCGTCAGTTGTTGAACCCATGACGTCATCATCTTCTTCCGGATGAGAGTAGATATCGATAACGCACTTCCATATACGCATTATATATTTTTTTTATTTCAGTTTAAGACATATTTAGTGTTTATATTACTTAACATTCTATATTGTGTGTACTGTCTGGAAATACATCGCAACTGTATACCATTTACCCAGGTTTCACTGATCTCTGCGCATTCGATTTCACAGTTAATTGACACACACACACACACACACACACACACACACACACACACACACACTCCAGCAACTTTACCATCTACTTTAGGTATACATATTTGATACTATTTTCATCACTAACAACATTCTACCCCTCCGATGTGTGTTGTTGGGTGGTGCAAACATGATGCTTGGTTTACCAGAGTCGTTTTTCAAGCCTGAAGTATACTCTTAGAGATGTATTTTATTTATTTATTTTATTTTATTTTTTTATAAATTTTTAGAACGATCTACACCTACCCAAATAGATTAATAATAATAATGATGATAATAATATTTTTAAAGTTTCCAAATTTGTGTCTTGAAGTTCCCTGTTTTATATTATACAGTATATATATATATTTTCTTTTTAACGTCATAAAATGGTTTTGTCTTTGGGTTGATGTGTCTAAAAAATGTTTGTATCATAAATGGCCAAGAATATCAAACTCCCTGAGTTCTTTTCGTTCTAAATGGTTTTCTAAATGGCCTTGGGTAGCTCACACACACTCATTCTGTTTACATCTCGATGGGACATACAAAATGGAAACTTTTTTCGCGCTAAAACCTTGTATATCCCTTGTATATCCCTGACCGTCTTGTGAAGGGAGAATAAATAATGTATAAAGTCTTGCTTGGAGAAGTGCGCTGGTTGTCACTTTATCCTGAAATTCTGCGTAGTTTGAGAATGGCAAGAAATACAATGTTGAAAAAGTATCACACACGGGACCGTTTTGTCATTTATTATTTCAATTTACAGGAAGCAACCAACGTAATCAAGCCAAGCCTACTCCACCCCCAGCTTATCCCGATCTAACCCAACCTGAAATACAACCTATCATGACTTAATCTAACCAGACTTAATGATTCTTGGATAGTTTGGGCTGGGTTTAGATTAAGGGCAATAGATTCGTATATGTTACTTTAAACGTAATATGCTGTATGGCCAAGAGCTATTATTGGAATCAGTCGTTATTGGAGAAAAAGAAATCTTTAAGTCAGAACTGAAAAAGCGATCATTAGGCCATAAATAAGTAAATAAATAAATGAATAAATGACTTAGTATCTCCGTCATGATATTTTTTTTGCACAAACAATTTTGCTTAAAAAATGACTTGAGAAATGTTGACAAGTGTACAGTACCATAGACTGTAGATAGCCTATTTGTTTTGGTAGCTGTTTGCAGGTTGCCATAATTCGGGGGTTAGGTATCTAGAGATTACTGAAGCCTTGTTGTTGTGATAACTTCTTTGTGATGGTTTGCTATTGTAATGAATATAGGTAATGAAGAAATAAATCAATTCGTCGGGATAATTCTTAATAGAGAACAAGCCTAGTCTTAGCTAACTTAGTCATAAACTAACTTTTCCTAACCTAAACTAACTTAACTTTAACCTAACTTAAAGTAAGCTAGCTGTACCAAATCTAACTTAATATAAGCTAGTTATACCGAATCTATCACAAGTTAACCTATTCCTAACCTGACCCAAATCTAACCTAATTTAAACTGAAGTTAACCTAACCTAACTCAAGCCAAAACCCAAACAAACTGTAATTAATCTAACCTGAATCCTTAACTTTAACCTAACCCAACCTAAACCCCTAACTAACCTGAACTAACCCAAACTTTAACCTAACCCAACCTAAACATCTACCTAACCTAATCTAACCCAAACTTTAACCTAACCCAACCTAAACCTCTACCTAACCTGAACTAACCCAAACTTTAACCTAACCCAACCTAAACATCTACCTAACCTAATCTAACCCAAACTTTAACCTAACCCAACCTAAACCTCTACCTAACCTAAACTAACCCAAACTTTAACCTAACCCAACCTAAACCTCTACCTAACCTGAACTAACCCAAACTTTAACCTAACCCAACCTAAACCTCCACCTAACCTGAACTAACCCATACTTTAACGTAACCTAGCGTAACGTAACCTAACCTAACCTAACCCCACTTTAACCTTAACCTAACTCCGTGACCTCATGCAGATTACAGCTACCATTATAACATCTTGTTCAGCTACACAGTGTACTATGGTTGGATGTGAGGCGTGTACAGTGTTGATAGACATAAGTACTAAGTATAATTTCCCTAGTGTTAATAAGCCTTCATAGTTATCCAGCATCCAGGATTTGCTCATGGTTATGTAGTTTAGTTGACTTAAAGGGTTTATGGGTATTTTAGTGACCTTACTGTGTGTATGGTGTGGTTAGTGACCTTACTGTGTGTATGGTGTGGTTAGTGACCTTACTGTGTATGGTGTGGTTAGTGACCTTACTGTGTGTATGGTGTGGTTAGTGACCTTACTGTGTGTATGGTGTGGTTAGTGACCTTACTGTGTGTATGGTGTGGTTAGTGACCTTACTGTGTGTATGGTGTGGTTAGTGACCTTACTGTGTGTATGGTGTGGTTAGTGACCTTACTGTGTGTGTGGTGTGGTTAGTGACCTTACTGTGTGTATGGTGTGGTTAGTGACCTTACTGTGTGTATGGTGTGGTTAGTGACCTTACTGTGTATGGTGTGGTTAGTGACCTTACTGTGTGTATGGTGTGGTTAGTGACCTTACTGTGTGTGTGGTTAGTGACCTTGTGATGGGTGTTGTATGGTGTTTAGACCACTGTGTATGGTGTGTTATGACCTTACTGTGTATGGTGGTTAGTGACCTACTGTGTGTATGGTGGTTAGTGACCTTACTGTGTGTATGGTGTGTTAGTGACCTTACTGTATGGTTAGTGACCTTACTGTGTGTATGGTGTTTAGTGACCTTACTGTGTGTGTGTGTGGTGTGGTTAGTGACTTTACTGTGTGTATGGTGTGGTTAGTGACCTTACTGTGTATGGTGTTAGTGACCTTACTGTGTATGGTGTGGTTAGTGACCTTACTGTGTGTATGGTGTGGTTAGTGACCTTACTGTGTGTATGGTGTGTTAGTGACCTTACTGTGTGTATGGTGTGGTTAGTGACCTTACTGTGTGTGTGGTGTGTTTAGTGACCTACTGTGTATGGTGTGGTGACCTTACTGTGTGTATGGTGGTTAGTGACCACTGTGTGTATGGTGTGGTTAGTGACCTTACTGTGTATGGTGTGGTTAGTGACCTACTGTGTGTATGGTGTGGTTAGTGACCTTACTGTGTGTGTGTGGTGTGGTTAGTGACCTTACTGTATGTGTGTGGTTATGACCTTACTGTGTATGGTGTGTTAGTGACCTTACTGTGTGTATGGTGGTTAGTGACCTTACTGTGTGTATGGTGTGGTTAGTGACCTACTGTGTATGGTGTGGTTAGTGACCTTACTGTGTATGGTGTGGTTAGTGACCACTGTGTGTGGTGTGTGGTTAGTGACCTACTGTGTGTGTGTGGTGTGTTAGACTTAACGTGTGTATGGTGTGTTAGTGACCTTACTGTGTGTGTGGTGTGGTTAGTGACCACTGTGTATGGTGTGGTTAGTGACCTTACTGTGTATGGGTGTGGTTAGTGACCTTACTGTGTATGGTGTGGTTAGTGACCTTACTGTGTATGGTGTGATGACCTTACTGTGTGTATGGTGTGGTTAGTGACCTACTGTGTGTGGTGGTGGTTAGTGACTACTGTGTGTGTGTGTGGTTAGTGACTTACTGTGTGTATGGTGGTTAGTGACCTTACTGTGTATGGTGGTTAGTGACCTTACTGTGTATGGTGTTAGTGACCTTACTGTGTGTATGGTGTGGTTAGTGACCTTACTGTGTGTGTGGTGGTTAGTGACCTTACTGTATGGTAGTGACATTGTGTGTGTTGGTTAGTGACCTTACTGTGTGTGGTTGGTAGTGACTTACTGTGTGTGTGTGGTGTGTTAGTGACCTTACTGGTATGGTGGTGACCTTACTGTGTGTGTGGTGTGGTTAGTGACCTTACTGTGTGTATGGTGTGGTTAGTGACCTTACTGTACAAAGTTCAAGGTCAGTCCTCTCCCAGGTTATAATGATGCTTTAATATATATTTCATAATTATTGTCTTTCATTAACCCTTCTATAGCACGTCAACAAGAGAGAATTGTGATAAAGGCGACTAATGTTATCTTACCGCCTCTCACGATGTTCAAAATGACAACGACATTGAACCTAGTCTCTTTTTATAAGTTATATCTCCAATTAAGGATAAGTTAATTTATGAATTTTTGAAAACACTAATTTATATTTATTTATACGGAAGATTAATACCAATGGAAATAAATAAAACTTATCATGCATTTATACTCCTACGTCACCAAGAGATTCCCAACATCACACTGGTCTATCTACAACGTCTGTATGAATATCTACTACCTGTTATAATAGGATTTTCAGCTTTGGTGGCAATGTTTACTGTTGTCATACAGAGTGGATACTTACGTCAGAGCTTCCCTGTAGCAGTAAAACTGTTAACTATACCGAGCTGAGCCGAGGCAGCCAGACACCAGTTAGCGGTTGACCTTCACCATGGTAAGTCACGGTAGTGTAATAGTGACGGTAGTGGTAATGGTGACACTAGTGGTAATGATGACGGTAGTGTAATGACGGTAGTGTAATAGTGACGGTGTAATGGTGACGGTAAAGTATGGTGATTGCAAGGTAATGGTGACGGTAGTGGTAATGGTGACGGTAGTGGTAGTGGTGACGGTAGTGTAATAGTGACGGTAGTGGACGAAGTGGAAGGCACACCAGTGGTAATGATGACGGTAGTGTAATTGTGACGGTAGTGTAATGGTGACGGTAGTAATGGTGACGGTAAGGTAATGGTGACGGGTGGTAATGGTGACGGTAGTAGACGGTAGTGGTAGTGACGGTGGTAGGTAGGTAATGGTGACACTAGTGGTAAATGAGAGGTGACGGTGTAATAGTGACGGTAATGGTGACGGTAGTGTAATGGTGACACTAGTGGTAATGATGACGGTAGTGTAAGGACGGTAGTGTAATGGTGACGGTAGTGTAATGGTGACGGTAAGGTAATGGTGACGGTAGTGGTAATGGTGACAGTGGTAATGGTGACAGTAGTAGTAGTGACGGTAGTGTAATGGTGACGGTAAAGGTAATGGTGACGGTAATTAGTAATGGTGACGGTAGTGGTAATGGTGACGGTAATTGGTAATGGTGACGGTAGTTAATAGTGACAGTAATGGTGACGGTAGTGTAATAGTGACGGTAGTGTAATTGTGACAGTGCAATAATGGTAACGGTAAGGTAATGGTGACGGTAGTGGTAATGGTGACAGTAGTGGTAATGGTGACGGTAGTGGTAATGGTGACGGTAGTGGTAATGGTGACGGTAGTGGTAATGGTGACGGTAGTGGTAATGGTGACGGTAGTGTAATGGTGATGATAGTGGTAATGGTGACGGTAGTGGTAATGGTGACAGTAGTGGTAATGGTGACGGTAGTGTAATGGTGACGGTAGTGTAATGGTGACGGTAGTGGTAATGGTGACGGTAGTGGTAATGGTGACGGTAGTGGTAATGGTGACGGTAGTGGTAATGGTGATGGTAGTGGTGATGGTAGTGGTAATGGTGACGGTAGTGGTAATGGTGCGGTAGTGGTAATGGTGATGGTAGTGGTAATGGTAACGGTAGTGGTAATGGTGACGGTAGTGGTAATGGTGACGGTAGTAGTAATGGTGACGGTAGTGGTAATGGTGACGGTAGTGTAATAGTATGATAGTGGTAATGGTGATGGTAAGTGGTAAGTGGTGACAGTAGGTGGTAATGGTGACGGTAGTGGTAATGGTGACGGTAGTGGTAATGGTGATGGTAGTGGTAATGGTGACGGTAGTGGTAATGGCGATGGTGGTGTAATGGTGACGGTGGTGGTAATGGTGACGGTGGTGGTGGTAATGGTGACGGTAGTGGTAATGGGACGTGGTGGTAATGGTGACGGTAGTGGTAATGGTGACGGTAGTGGTAATGACGGTAGTGGTGTGGTGGCGATGGTGTAATGGTGACGGTAGTGGTAATGGTGACGGTGGTAGTAGTTGATGGTAGAGTGGTAATGGTGACGGTGTAGTGGTAATGGCGATGGTAGTGTTAATGGTGACGGTAGTGGTAATGGTGACGGTAGTGGTAATGGTGACGGTAATTGGTAATGGTGACGGTAGTGGTAATGGTGATGTTGAATTAACGTAATGGTGACGGTAGTGGTAATGGTGACGGTAATGGTGATGGTGAGTGGTAATGGTGACGGTAGTGGTAATGGTGATGGTAGTGTAATGTGGTGACGGTAGTGGTAATGGTGACAGTAGTGGTAATGGTGACGGTAGTGGTAATGGTGATGAAAAATTGGTGTTAGTGTTAATTGGTAATGGTGACGGTAGTGGTAATGGTGACGGTAGTGGTAATGGTGACGGTAGTTAATTAATGGTGACGGTAATGGTAATGGATGATAGTGGTAATGGTAACGGTGGTAATGGTGACAGTAGTGGTAATGGTGTTGATGAGTGGTAATGGTGACGGTAGTGGGTAATGGTGATGGTAGTGGTAATGGTGACGGTAGTGGTAATGGCGATGGTAGTGGTAATGGTGACGGTAATTAGTGTGAGTGACGGTAGTTGTAATGGTGACGAGAAGGTAATGGTGACGGTAGTGGTAATGGTGACGGTAGTGGTAATGGTGACGGTAAGTGGTAATGGTGACGGTAGTGTAATGGTGACGGTAGTGGTAATGGTGATGGTAGTGGTAATGGTGACGGTAGTGGTAATGGTGACGGTAGTGAGTGGTGGTTGACGGTAGTGGTAATGGTGACGGTAGTGGTAATGGTGATGGTAGTGGTAATGGTGACGGTAGTGGTAATGGTGACGGTAGTGGTAATGGTGATGGTAGTGGTAATGGTGACACTAGTGGTAATGGTCACGGTGTAATGGTGACGGTAGTGGTAATGGTGATGGTAGTGGTAATGGTGACGGTAGTGGTAATGGTGATGGTAGTGGTAATGGTGACGGTAGTGGTAATGGTGATGGTAGTGGTAATGGCGATGGTAGTGTTAATGGTGACGGTGGAGGTGGTGTGGTGACGGTGGTGGTAATGGTGACGGTAGTGGGTAATGGTGGTAGTGGTAATGGTGACGGTGGTGGTGGTGGTGGTGGTGAGGTGGTGGTGGTGGGCGGTGGTGGTAATGGTGACGGTAGTGGTAATGGTGATGGTAGTGGTGATGGTGGGCACTGGTGTGGTGGTCGCAGTGGTGTGGTGACGGTAGTGGTAATGGTGATGGTAGTGGTAATGGTGGCAGTGGTAGTGGTGATGGTAGTGGTAATGGTGACGGTAGTGTAATGGTGATGGTGGTGGTAATGGTGACGGTAGTGGTAATGGTGACGGTAGTGGTATGGTGACGGTAGTGGTAATGGTGACGGTAGTGGTAATGGTGATGGTAGTGGTAATGGTAACGGTAGTGGTAATGGTGATGGTAGTGGTAATGGTGACGGTAGTGGTAATGGTGATGGTAGTGGTAATGGTGACGGTAGTGGTAATGGTGACGGTAGTGGTAATGGTGTTTGGTGAGGTGCTGCTGAATCCTGTCACTGATAACAACTTCGACATCACAGAAAAATTATAAAAATTAATCCACACAAAAATATTATGATCAGAACAGGATGTGTGTGTGTGTGTGTGTGTTAATGAGTGAACAAAGGATAACACTAATCATTTACTCTTAATTAAAACGATAAAATAAAACATGCTGTCAACTTATTCTGATACCGTCAAAAAATATAAGTTTGTTCGATAACTTACTAATGAAACTACGACTTGTGTGTATATAAGGAGAGATGTACTACTTAATTTTATAAGTAAGACTACTGTTACTAATGTAGGGAACTTTTATAGTACTCGTTATAATAGTACTGTAGACTGTAGTGGCAGTAGTAGTAATAATGATAGTACTAAAAACAATAGTATATAATATAAGTAATAATAATATTAAACCCAACAGTTGTCACTCTCCTCTCTCACACAGCCAACCGCAGGACGAAGGACAAGTCAAGACTCAGAAAGCCCCCAGGAGAGATTACTCTTGGCATGATATCTCTTCCCCATACCGCGGATTTTCCTGGGAGGATTATCTAAATGACGTTCGCTATACCAGGGATGCCGCGGAACTGTTCAACTCACCTGAATATGGGTCTAGCAGCAGTGGAGTTGACGACAATTATACCTTTATGAGGTTGGACTCAGAGGGGAACTTTGTAGACTTCCATCCCCCAGAGATTCTTCCACTTTATCTTCATTATCGGAGAGAGTTACGACGAGGATACATCGCCACCCTGGTTCATCGACTACCAGAGTGGTTATTAGTGTATCTCATCTTCCTGTTGTTACGTGGCCTCCTTCAACCATGTTCCATTGGATCTGGAGAAGGTAACTGAATTAGATAAGCAAGAAAAATCCTCCTCGGTGGCCTCTTAGGTTCGCCTACCTCGTACAAAGCCCGCCACTGAACAAGAGGCCAAACTCAAGAAGATGAGGATGCTAATTTACACGGACGAGTACCACAGCCCTCTCTCTCCTGAAGACTTCCAGGTCCTATTGGTTACAGGAGCTGTCCCTGCAAATTTCAAGGTGCTTTTTTTTTTTTGGCCACTTACGGCGGCTAGTTGTGTGCACCCCATACTCATCATGTGACCGTTAGCGCAAAAGGATTACAGAGTCGAGTTCACAAGGGTCAGTATAACTAACCCCAGTGGTCCGGATATTATGGCATTGAATGTTACAGAGTACTTCAAATAAATTCTTTGTTTAGTTCTGGACATAAGGAATGACTTGTTCACAAATGTGTGGGTACAGGAGTGTTGAGGTATTATGTCTGGCCTCACTCTGTCTGGGGTATTCAAGCACATGTGTGTGTTTGGTTCTATACATGAGAAATGATATAGCCACTGAGTGCAAAAAAGTATTTACTGTAAGTCTCGGGTATAGTTACGATACCCCTGTGTTCGGATCACCTGAGGGTTAAACACCCCCAACCTGAAGACTAGACACCTCCGACGTATAGCTGTGGGGGATGGCATAAATTAGGTTGTGTTAGTTTTGGTCACATTGGATTAGGCTAGCGTTAGTTTAGGTAGGTTAATATTAAGTCTTCAATCCAAATCTCTATCTCTCCTCACTAAGAGACACTTATCACTAAACTGTAACTCAAAGTACTATATCACGTCTCTCATATCTCAATCTCTTGGAGGACCGCCAGAACCAGGATTTATTACTTATAGCCTCAGAACTTACTTGGCTGTCAATAGTTACTGGCATCATATATCTCCACATAAGATTCCAAGAAGTTTAATGCCACTGCTAACTCACTGTTATGATGGTGGTGTGTGTGGAAAGCCAGTCAAGTAATAATAATAATAATAATAATAATAATAATGATGACGATAATAATGTTTGAACTTGTCCCCCTACAGACCCTTACGCAGTCAACGGTTGTCAAAATACCGTAAATTCAGTGTATTTATTAACGGTTTACATTGTAGAAACCGAGGTTATGTTAGATTTGAGAGATAGTTAGTTATTTTACCTGTTTAAAGAGGCGTACAGTACGTGACACCTCATTATTGTAAATATCAAATATTATCAATTATTTTTATTTTATATTACGTATTATCACTTGTAATTAGTTGTTATTGCTGAGTCTACATTCTGGGGCCATGACGTCATCAAGTTAGTACATTAGCATAATGTTAATGAAAGTCAAGTCTTTTTCAGTTATTTCATATATAACTCCTGATTTGTTTCATATTTCATATTTATAATATTTATATTTTTAATCAATCAATCAATTTGTAAGAATAAGTCCAGGTACAGAGTACTGTATATCTGCAGTATGTATATAATTTACCTGGACAAATTCCATCAATGATATAATGAACAAAATAGGACCAAACCCGTTTCCATTGTCTCAGTATATTTAGAGTGTCTTTGCGGATAATAATAATTGTCATGCCAACTTTGAACATTAACTACTCATCTACGTAATAAAGAGGAATAGCAGTGAAGTTGTTAGTGTTATATGTACAGAATTGGTGCGTAAGTCGCGCTCTACAGAACATTATTAGTGTATATATATTACTTTGTTCTCGATGGCGAACTACGCGCACCCAGCATCCCTACGCCTTACTAAGTCTTTAAACAAATTCAAGATACCCTTCAGATATACATCAGTAAGTCCATAAGGATATAGTGAGCACAAGGTTAGGTCACCCATATATTCCTACCAATAAAAGGTCAGATTATCGCTTTTCTTTTTAATATCATGTTAAATAATGTGACATAAACATTATAAGAAGAATGCTTAACATATAAAGTGGAAATAATTTAAATACATCCGAACTAATAATAATCTAGAATAAAATCAATTGAAAAAAAGGTACCTGACTTCACAGTTGGGAAAATGGAGGCGGTCAAGTACAATACCCCTTCTTAGTACTGAAGACTTAATATACATTGTGATGTATTTACAGCTGTTCCTAGCGGGTATCCAGGTTTCTGAAGCCAACTTTTAATTTTAGATGACAATTGTGTATATTCCAAGTGGGTAGCTGGGGGTGGGGTAGTGAGGGTAGACGTAACGGAGGAGTTGTAGTCACAGTTCTGCTGGTCTATCTCCAGTTCGAAATAGGATGGCGGAGGCGTCTCAGAGCTTGCTAGGGTATCGTAGTCTGGTGGAGAGTCCTGTCGAAGGTGAAGGCGAGAGTTAGCTTGGTGGAGGAGGTACGTGTTAGTAACCTTGTGGTGGAGGATGTACTGAACGTGTTAGTAACCCCGTGGTGAAGGAGTAACCCCTTTGTGAAAGCGTAACTCCGTGGAGTATGCATGAGTTAGTGACCCCTTGGAAATGGCGAAAACATTGAAGTCGAACTTAATATATAATGCTAATATATTCAGATACAACTATAAACATAGCAAATTAATTCTTTCTATATAAAGGTTAGGTTAGGTTAGGTTTGGGTTAGGTCATGTTAAGGATTGAAGTTAGGTTAGGTTAGGACAGGTTAGGTAAAGGTTAAGATTATGTTAGGTTGTCAGGTTAACCCTTTTGCAGAGGGAGGTTACCCTAAGCTGAATAAAATGGTCTGGCGGTAGCCAGAATAAAATGGTAAGTGCGTGAAACGCGGCGAAAGGGTTAAGCTGGGTTAGATTGTCAGGTTCAGGTTAGATGGTATATCGTATTCACTTACCTGTCTGATGCTGTTGACAGAAGTGATCGAGCGTCTTTCAATGACGAGAGTAATCACCATTACCGCCAGCACCGCCAAGTTGAACAGGAAACCCGTCACCATTATCAAGTAACCCTCCCTAAGCGTCCACGAGCCCCCACATCCGTTGTGCTGTCATTGTAAATTACCAAAACATATATATTCGTTTTATACGGGGATAGCCCAACAGAGCACAGGTCATCGACCCACAACAGGGCCCGGAGGGCGAAAAAAGTAAAAAAAAAGAGAAAAAGACTTGATCTACACCAAATACCGGAAAACCAGCATTTTGAAGTGAGACAGGTTGCAATAGGATTGAAACACAGAAGAAGGCAGAGCATTGCACAGTTTGGCTGTGTGAGGAAAGGATGTACTGGCAGTTACTCTCTGACATCACTCCACAGAGAAAGAGTGGGCACCGCGGGCAAGACTTGTGTTACGAGCCCATGGCCTTGCCGGCGGTACACAGGATGCCAAATCCACCGAACAATGCCCGTTAAAGTACCTGTAAAGAAAAGTGAAGCAACATTGCGGCTAAGTTAATTAGTTCCCCTTTGGTTCAATATCGACACACAGATTAGCAAGAATGTGAAATATATTAATTAAACACGTAATCAATAGTTACGTGTTATAATTGTTATATAAGTAAAAAATGTCAATTCGAAATGTCGTTTTACAAAACCTCGTTAGGATACGTTATGTTGTTAGAAAATGAAGTAGCGTAGTAATATTGACTACAGTAACGAGAGATGTTGGAGCAAAATCATAAAATAAGGGAATAAAAATAAGAAATGAACGACCTTGAGCACATAATGATAAGCAATTAGAGAATAATTGTGAACCAAGGAAGGCAGAAACTGGAATAGATGAACGAAATTAAAATATCTCTTCCCTAAGTTGCAAAATGACAATAAACTCAATCGAAAACTTAATAGAACAAAGAGAATTGTCTTTAGTACATTTAGGTTAGCGAGCAGATATACATTAATTGCCTATATTATACTATATACATCCATTACGTATATCCTTGTTATACTATATATCAGTGTCTCTATAGATGCTATACTGTGTACCTGAACTGTCTATACATATTTTAATCAATATAAACTTGGATGAGGATTTTGCTGAGTATCTATCTTTACTTATTTTTCTTTTCATGCAAGTTATATTGTAAAGGTGACAGATCAATAAAGAAAAGCATAAAAAAGACAGATGGTCAGAAAATACAACCGACACAATTAGAAAGAAATTGACAGAAGAAAATTGCAATATAAACAGACATCCATATTGTAAACCTACTTTGCGGAACTTGTCAGCAGTGGTGAGGAGTTTGGGGGTGGAGGCAGTGGTGGCGAGTGATGACCAGTGACTGGAGCAGGATGTCATGTACATCCCCAAACCAGTGAGGAAAGTGGCGACCAACCAACATACTCCGAATATCCCCAGCGTCTTCTTGTTTGCCAGTCTCGTCAACCTCATCGTCACTCAGGCCAATCAGACGGTTGCTGTACGTCACTTGGCCAAGCATACGAATTCTGAAGATATCTCAAGCCACTCAGACGACTCCTATAGGCGCGGTAAGAGAAGAACAAGAAGACTTTTGGGTTTTTTTTCGTCGGGAGAACTTAAAGCCTAATCACTTACTCAATATCCCTCCAACACCCATGCCCCAAGACCTAGCCCTCACCCATGCTCTATACCCACACCCAAGCCGCACATTCTACATGATTTAAAGTGACGGGAAAGTGTTACAAGCACGCGTTATCACTCACCATGGCGGATCCTGCCCTTGCCTACACTATCTCCCTTGCCTCCACGAACTGCAACTTTCAATTTATTTTTTCTCATATCTATAGTATAAGCTTTCTCCTATCTCTACATGCTTTCTTTCATTTCTACACATTTCTTTTATATCTGCATACCTTCTCTCATATCTACATAGTTTCTCTCTCACCCCTACAGTACATACCCTTTTCTCTTTCTTAACTAATTAAATTCTATTCTAAAGTATCACCCTAAAAGCTTATTTCTCTAAAATTAAGCTGGACGTGTAGCTGTGCTTGGTATATAAGGCTTCATAAGCTAATACTGTACTTTCTCTTATAATAAGTTAAAATATCTTTATACATCGACTGCTGGTACAAAAATTATTAATGCAAACAGCGTAACTAACCACTTTTAATATTGCTTAATTTTATGTCAAGTGAATTATATATTTTATTATATTAATTAACCACAGCTATATTAATTTTAATATGAAATTACGTGATTATTTAAGTAATTATTAATAAAATGTAAAAAAAATTCTTACCTTCTTTTGTCCAATGGAGCTTAGACATTCACCTTCTTAAGGAGTGGTTTCCGGTCCGCGATGATCAAAGGCTACTAAGTCACCCTAAGACTATCTTACTGATGAGATAGGCTTGAATTCCTCAACGTTGTATCAATTACGCCATGGCGATGCTCAATTAGACCAGCAGTGGGGTGAAATTAGTAGAGAGGAGAGTGGAGGGAGTCACGAGTAGGTATCAAATCTGGGATGGTGACACTATCATCCGGTGGGCACAGTTGCCTTTACATTGTTTTTCATTATTATTCCGTAAGTCTTTATGTATCCTTCTTCTCTTCGCCTTTCGTTTTTGAATTTGAATTGAATTTGAATTGTAACAGTTTATTTAGCCAGAAAAATACAGATACAGAGTGGATAATAATAACAATATTGACATGGCTGAGCCAGTTGAGAACCTGAGCTCTCTTTGGGGCACCTGATATATACTATACATTTATCTCAAGGAAGTATTATGTAACATTTAGTATCACCTGGAATAGTGCAATAGCATGGTAGTAATAAGTACATCTCATAGTGTTACCACGGTTATCACTTCAATATTTATTTATACATATATATACATATATATATATATATATATATATATATATATATATATATATATATATATATATATATATATATATTTATTTATTTATACATACATACATATCGTTATTACCCGGTATCTCATTTACTGTTTCCTCAAGGTTATTTTACAAGATGAGTGACTTTTGATAGATATTGTTATGCCGAGGCATAATTTGGTATCATAGTACTTGTGAACTAGGTGTTCTGATTAATTTCTGTATTACCTTTGTAAGAATTTTCTAGACTTTTATATTTTATTTCACAGTATTTTATAAGAGTAAATCAATTCGTAGAACTTTTGTGCCCCATTTAGTTCATTCAAATTTTTTAAATCATCTCTACGTGCATTTGTAATCTAAGTTGTACTAAAAACACATAATTTTAGGTTGAAAGAAATATAAAAGCTTCAAAAGTATGTATACAATCAAAGTTGGTTGTAATAGTAATAATAATAATAATATCTAAAACTAAAACATAATAATGGTAATGATCATTTGGCTCTCTCACATATTTTACTCCAACTCGTCGTATAATTCCTCATCAGCCACACAATTCAGTGACAGGTCCTCTCGTCTCCCAGCTGCCGCAACACGACCTGTCAGAGGTGGGTGGTTGGTAGTGGTGGCGGATGGTGGTGTTGGTAGTCGTGGGCTGTGGGGTGTTGGGAAAGGTGGTGGATGGTTGTAGACGTGTTCGGTCGTGGTGTGGGTGGTGGTGATGGCTCGCTGGTGATCGTGGGCTCTGTGGGAAAGACATGTTTGAACGAGCTACGTTACTGGCGGCAGGTGTACTGGAGTCAGCCAAGGGAGACCAAGGTAGACGGCTAAATGAGGAAGAGCGGGAACCAAGCAGGCTGGGTTCATTGTCATCCATGAGTTTACAGTTTATTTTCCTGCCGCAGTGTCCAGGGAGAGTGCTGGAGTGCGTCTCGTGTCGTTGAAAACCATCATGCTGTGTATGAGGTATCGGCAGGACAGTCGTGTAACCTGATATGCCTTTACCACTCGTAGGTGTCTGTTTGACCATCTTTGAAGACTGGGTCTTCTTCTTGGTAGATGTTTTCAATTGTTGTTTGTTAGTGTTGCCATCCGCCACAGGTCGACCGTTGTCAGGGTTTGTAGTGCCCCGTGGAGAGCCCCTGGACAACCCGTGTGAATTAGAGTGCGATTTCTTCTTTTCCATTTGTGTCGAGGAAGCAAGTTTTTCCTTCATTCCTAACATTAATTTTTTATGTGCGTCATTAGCGGTCCCATGTGAGTACTTAAACACTTGTTTATTATCCTTGTTGTTGCTGCTGCTGTCAAGGTCGCTACTAGACACACCAGCTACACCTTGATCTGGTCCCTTTGGTCGTCTGTCTTTGTGACCTTTGATGGGCTTCTTGTTGGTGGTATTGGCGTCCGAGTTCTTCTCTTGTTTCTCCATTCCTCCCTTTCGTTTCCTTTCTGTATAATTTTCTTTTATTTTCATTGGTCGATCATCTTCGTGGTCGGTTGGTTCACGATTCTTCAAAGTATCGCACATCTGTCGCTGGGCAGCTACAGTGTTTTGCACCTTCTGTTCTGAAGTGTTAATGGTTTGTTGATATTTGTCAGGAGGCGTTAGAGAACTTGTTTGGATATTTTGTGTTTTGCCAGAGCATTTAGGACGACCAGAGACTTTGTCGCAGCCAGAAACATCCAGGTAGCTGTCTTTAGCTTTAGAAACGTCATTGTGTCCAGGAGTGCTCCCAGATCTGCTTGTGGTAGTGGCATCTTGGCCTGATGGAAGGATGCCACCCTTATTTCCGGGTGCACTAGCAACATACATACAACCAGAGGCACCAGAATCCTTACGTTTCCTGTAACTGTCTCTGTCTCGTGAAGGAGTCCTCTGCTTGGAAGGTGAACCAGCACCACCACCACCACCAGCCAGGTGTTCTCCAGCGGGAAGGTGATGAACCTCGGCCAAGACTTCTCTACTTGTGTTGACCCCATCGCCGCAGGACACCATAGGCAGACGTTCCTGTATTCCTCTCTCTCTTATTGACACGTTACTCAGGCCGCCCCATCCAGACCATGATGGCGCCTCGTTTTCTGATTCATGCCTCTTCTCCCGCCGGTGTGACGCACTTACCTTATGCCTGTGCCAAGTGTAAATAATGGCGGTGGAGAGTACCAAAGAGACACCGCTTGCTCCCCCAATTAGCAGAATCAATATGGTTAAATCCCAAGGTTCACTGGACGAGGAACTACCTGGAAAGGAAGATAGACAAAAGTTTAGCTGCAGGAGAACCGTTCACTGTGTTTATATGATAGAATGCTACTACTACTACTACTACTACTATTATTATTATAATAAACAAATACAGACCTGAGCCTCATAAAGCCATCTTATACGGAGGCTAGAGTTAATAAAGTGTAAATACAGTATTCTGAAGTACATTATACCTAAGAGATAATATTACATAATAAAATGATAAAGTAGTGAATCAGGGTAATATCAACGTTAGCAAATAATACAACACTGTACTTACTAAGGAGCTTGTGTAGCCGCTTATCACAGCCCAGGGACCAGTAAGCTATCTTGTCTGACTGGAAGTGGAAGGTCACCTGGTCTTGTCGCTGAATGGCGGCCCCTTTACTGGCTGTCAACTGTGTGTTGTTAATCTGAAACAGTGAGGATCTAGTTAAGTGAGAGAGAAAATATGAGGACACCGCATGATATATTGTCACAGGGGTTATAATGGCATCCTGGTGGTGACTTGGGTCCTTTTAGCGCCAAAATTTGAAACGAGAAAACCCACGTTCAAAGTTTTTCCAACACTAACCTCTACAACAACAACACACACTACGAACCTCTGCGTTGGTTGTGTCCCACAGGACCACGCGACCGTCCCCCTCCCTCGTCAGCTTCAGTTGGTACCATTTGGCCGAGGTGTCGAGGGTAAAGTTCAAGTTCCTGTTGTTATTGTTTTCCTGTCCGTGTTCTTTGATAGAGAGACCCAGTTGGAGGTGAGTGTCTTCGTCAGGGGTCGACACCCATATGTCACTTTCATCAGCCAAGGGCACGAGGGTGTGGGCATCCTCGTCAACAGGAGTCTTCTGGATTACACATCCTGCAACACCACCCACCGTCATGGTTAGGTTAGATTAGGTTAGGTTAGCTTAGCTAAGGTTATGTTAGCTTAACTTAGGTTAGCTTAGCTGAGGTTAGCTTAGCTTAGGTTAGGTTAGGTTAGGTCCCCCCTCACCTTTCCCTTCACTCTCTAGTTGGCTATTCACGACAGATATTACATTATTGATTCAATATTTTATAATAAAGAACGTGATTTAATATAAGAATATTAGTTGTGTTTATGTAAAGGTAGAACTGTAATATTACCACTAACTCTCTCTCAAAACTCTCTTACCAGATGGACAGGAAAACAAGAGATCAATGTTGCCTCTGCCCCTAGTGACGGCGACGTTGTAGGTGTAACTTTTCTCCTGCCGCTGTATAGGGAGAGGAACTTTTGTCTTGGCTGTGTCATTACCTCCCACAATTCCCTCTATCACCAGAAAAGATCCAGACACCTTCATCATCTGCCAGTCTTGTGGGCCTAACTCCACCACTGCCAGGGTACTACCGTTGGCTGTAGGGAAGACTCACTGGTTATCGTGATGCAACATTTATGGCTAAACAAGTGACTGTCTAATGTCTCTGTCTTTATCTTTCTCTGTCTATTCTATACATATCTGTTTATTTATCATTCTTCTATCTCTGCCACACCACTCCCACGTACCATTAGTAACATTGTAAGAGTACAGACGGCTCTCCTGGTCCAGTCTATTATATCGGAAGTTCAACAGGAGTGGGGGTGTAGTTGTGGCGTTCGTCGCCTCCACCAAGAGAGAGAATTCCTGCGGGGCGACGTTGTAGGTGTCGTCAAAACGCAGAAACACCTGACGTCCCTTTCCTGTTATCGTGTTGTTCATAGAAGATTTCTTCACCTCGCAATCGTCCTTTACTGAAAAAGGTCGGAACGCTGAATGGGACAGTCTTTTGACGAGGGCATCTTCACTAAACACGTGTCGTTTATTACGGGGAGGAAAATTAAATAAAACTCTCACGTGAAGGGGAACTGTTCACAGTATGAGTCGTACACAATGTGGGTTGAAACTTGAACATGGAATGAAACGGTTTGTTGACATTGAACTCTTGAAAAATCTAATCAACTTTGGAACGTAGAAGGACCTCATCATTATACAGGAGTCTTTTACTACACAAAAGAACATGGAATGATACTATTAATAAACAAAGATATTTGTTCTAGACTGAGGACGACAAGACCAAGTTAGTGGGTTATACACCAAGTGAGGGTCCCTCTTGTCCTGATAAGCCTCAACCCAACCACTCATAGCCATTAAGAATGGGACCCTTAACGACTGGGTCCCAATTATAATGACTAACTTCGGGCCTCAGGGGACTGGGGCACATTATGTTAGGTACCACGGTGAGGACCTACCTGCTGGTGAAGTGTTATCGGTCATGAAGTTTCTCTTGTCCCACCAGGCCGCCTCCGTCAACCTCCCTCCTGCCGATAACAACATACATTACACACACACACACACTTATGACACGGTTGGCATTACACGTAGTCACCCGCCACAGGACAAGGTACCATAATTCTGTACAATAATGATTTTTTTTGTTTGCTTTACAAACTCATGTGACATATTATCGTGATTATCTCTCTCTCTCTCTCTCTCTCTCTCTGGACCGGAAAACACTATACCACCCACCGCTCAGTAAGGCCAGCATCAGTAGTGGCCACCCCAACATGCTGTAGCCTCCTCCAAGGAATAGAGAGAGTCCTTGGCCTCCTCCACTCTGGCCACCTTCGATCACGTCACACCTCAAAGGTCTTCACAGGGGAGCAAACTTTTAAACGTCGGCCTCTAAAACATCACCGACGACAAAGGTATGACTTGCTGTCAGGCGGCTGTGAAAGGAAGTATAGGTACCGTCTGTGATTTAGACGCCACACATCCTGATACTCCAGGTGATACGGGACTGGAGATACCGACTCACAGATTGAAATTTTAGTTTGTCCTTAAGGAAGAAATTTCTGCCAATACTAATGACTGAAACGATCGAATGTGCTGGGTTGTGGTTGATAGCTAGAGGAACATACTATAAGGATATGTAACAATGCCTTATCTTGGTTTCCCGTGGAATGGCGTCTTGTGCCCTGATTTTTTTTTTTTACATTTCGCTCTTTTTCATCATTTATAAAAAAGAGCGAAAAATTATTTTTTCTTAAAATTTTGCTCTAACATTATCATAGACGGGGGAAATAACCACTGAAAGAAACATATTATTCTAATTATAATAACAATCGTTGATTTAGAGTGTAGTACAGCGGTTCATGGATTCAGCCACAGGCCCGGAACAGATGTTCTCCGGGTGCTACTGTTTCCTCTTATACTATACTCACACTGCAAGTAATCACAAAGTACTAATTAACAGACTTTGTGTTTTCTTGTTTTCTATGTGGTTATCAACATATATACATGGATCACGCGCACCTACAGTGATTTATTTGCATATATATATATGTATATATATATATATATATATATATATATATATATATATATATATATATATATATATATATATATATATATATATATATATATATATATATATATATATATATATATATATATATATATATATATATATATATGTGTGTGTGTGTGTGTGTGTGTGTGTGTGTGTTTTAGGAATTTATATCATGAGTGCAGTTAAGGGTGTACTCTCGACTATTAGATGTACTTTATGATATGTTGTTCATGCGACGAATTTCACAATAAAATGTTTACCAAAGGCGGACATATAACACATATGCTGGTCGAGTCGTAGACAAATATAAATGGACTCGTACTCCTCAGTCTCCTCAGAACCAAAACAAACCTCAGATGGGACGCAACCTGTTACTTTAAATGTCTTCTTTTTTTTCTTTTTTTACTGAACATACGACTCGTCTTCTCTCTGACTGGATGGGCTTTTAATTTAGAGAAAAATAAGGTACGAAAGGCAATCATTAATACATTATTATGAATATAGTCATAGTTTTGAGATGGCTTTACTAGCGCCAACCTCCACTAAATAGATATATGTTCAGTAAAATCAAACAAAATATATCATTTTTTTTATCACTACGTACATAAACAATATATGTATACAAATATTAAGGTATTATTTTACTTTAGGACATAGCGCGCCCGAAAGTTATAAACTACTGAAACATTTAGGTCTCCCTATTTTGAACCCCATATATACCAGAAGGAGTTTTTCGAATTTGTTCGTTTTTTCCACAGATACTGTTTGGATGATAGTAAGTAATAAAAACGTTATGACAATACACAGGACCTAGTAGAACCTGACCGAACTAACCTAACCAAAGAAACCTGGTAATATTGCAGTAAACAGCAACCACAGAATTCCGGAAGTTCACTACACTCAATCGATAGAACTACAGGGTATTTCTTATATGATCATTTTCTTATATTACACTTCCGTCACAAGTTGATGATAATGAAGTTATTTAATTTTAAAAAGAAAAAAATCAGAGCATCTGTTGCCCCTACGCTGTTGCTCAGATTGTGTGTTTGTATGTTCACTTTCGGAGTAAGGTGAGAAATACTGTAGCGGCTATTTATATTCTCGTGGAGGCGGACCATGAGACTCTGGGTTATTACATACCTTCTGGGGGTCCCCGTCTAGGGGGTTAGGTAAGGTTTAGTTTAGTTATGTTGTATAAGTTAGCAAGCACAGAGTACCGGGAATTCAGAACACGCAATCGATAGAACTATTATTTCTACTATTTTTTCGTGAATAACAGAATTTCTGTTGTGTAATGTGTTCTGACATTTTCTTGTCGCGATTCAGAAAATTTTAGAATTCGCTTTTACCACAAATCACTCATTTTGGCTCTCCCCGACCTAGATTTACACATGAGCTTATACAGTAACTCTTTGTTGTGAAAATTCTGCGTTAAAATATCCACAAATAAAGGAAGAAGAACCATTGTGACAAAGTAAACTTGTGTCTCGTAGCAGCAGTAAGGCGGCAGCTTTCTATACCATGACGCAACAGTATTCTGAAATCTTCTGACTGGTAGAGGCAAGAAACCTATGAAGATTCTGTCTACTCTTGCCTTATTTTGCATGACATGTGGGGAGGCAAGTTGTGTGTCTTCCTGTACATAAGGTTACAGCCACAACCTCATCCACTTACAACTCCTTACAAATCTATAACTTCTGATGAGCACTGTAGTTATGTGAGACAGAGAGATACTGTTGTTGTGTTGGTATCAAACAACAATTTTATAAGTAGTTACAAGTATTATTTTAATTTTTTTACAGGATGGCTTCCACATCATCTCTGCTGTGGGGTAGAGCCTCATCTAAATTTGCATTACAATATGTGTGGAATGTTAGTAGAAGATTGCAATCACCAGTCTTCTCAAACACCTTCCAGTGTCGCAGAAGAATTACAACAACTCCGTTACAGGCAGCAAGGTAAGAAAATTCGGATCACTTGTTGATTAAACACTCCACTGCTACCTGGAAGAGATAGGTTTGGTTAGTATTAGGCTGGATAATCTTGAGGTGAAGTAAGCTGGGGCTAATCTTCGAGTAATTGGAAATTACTGTCTCAGTCATAAATATTCAGACATTTGATAAATATTCTCTTGTGTCTGAGAAAACAATAGAGTCTGATCCCTGAAGTTATCACTATGTTTATTTTATGTCTGTTATCTAATAATATCTGGACCAACATATTTCTTCAAAAGGAAACATATTTAATAAAATTTATTTTTACTCCTCAAGGAAATAAAATATGATTCTGAAGGATTCTCCTCTGCTTATGTGTGCTTAATGGAGGTTTTGAATCTGAATGGTGTCCCCTGTGAATTGGTCTTACTGGTGTTGTACTTCATTAAGTAATTTCATGAAATATTTAATGTTGAGTTAATTTTTCATGATCATCACATCTATCGTCAGGATATTTAGTTGTAAAAATAAATGTATGATAATATAATAATGAGGTGGTCACTTCTCAGGAAGGAACACAATGAAGAAAAGACAAGTTTAACCATCCAAGGATACTTTGCATCAAAAGATCGCTCCAAAGAAACATTTCTCACCGCCTGTGACGTCTTCAGAGACAAAGGCCCACATCTACGAGGCCATGTGGAGTTTATTTATGCTGCCCTGAAAAACATGGAGGACTTTGGAGTTCATAAAGACTTAGAGGTATGTAACTTTTTTTTAACATCATATACTCATTAGGGGGCAGGGAAAAAACACTTTTATTTGAGTTGCAGGCTGCACTTTTCAGGCATCGTTTGTATGGCTGTAACAAACACCTGTGCAAAATTTCATGCCATTTCATGCATACTTACCCTGCCGCATCGCGAACGACTTTTTGTCAACTTTTAGTGTATACCAAAAATTAGGTGTCATTTAATGTTTTCCAGGATAATGATAAATTTTACATGGGTGACATCGATTTAATTCACATGTTATTTTACAGGTACACCGTATAGAAAATCATTACAAGTTCATATTGAAATTCTTTTTTGTGCGGAACCTTGGCATCATTTTCCTAGACAATAATCTTTGCCTAATATATCCATCTCTCGATTCGTATCCCGTCACTTCAGTGCAAGCTTCAGTCATCACTTTTATGCCTCTCTCGACCGCCTGAGTGCTGTTTGGCCACTTGGGCACCACTAATGGTGTCTCAAGAATGTCATTAACCTGTAGATTTGACAGAGAAGCAATGTAAGGAGGCTCAGTCTTGAGTTCATTCCTCCAGTTAATCATGGAATGATAGTTTTTTGCTTGCCACTTTAGTTTCGGAGTCACCACCTTTCTCATGTTGACTACAGGAGGCACATCCTCATTCCCATCTCCATCTTTACCCTCCTCATCAGTATAGTTTAACAAATTCTCGTCAACAGCAGCATCAGAATCTTCCTCCTCCTCTTCAGATCTGCCAGTGCATTCTTCCTTTTGCTGATTCTCCTCTCTAATTTTTCTTATCATTGAGACAGCTTTTTCTCTAACAGTCATGTCCTCATCTGCACACATACCAAGAAGAAGTTGATCTGTGTGGGCGAAGTATGCATTTCTCTGGACAGCCTTCTTCACTATCGTCTCCTCCTCACTATTCAGGTGTTTCATATATAGCAGGGACTGGAATACGTTCCTTGAGCCGTGTGTTACGTAAGGGTGTATCTTGATGTAAAACCACATTGGAGCACTGAACTTTATTATTGTAATGACAATTCTTTTCAACTCATGGCTGGGTCTTGATGTTGCTACATACAGCCTGAGGATTCTACTCCATAAGGTGTTCCACCTTGACACACAGGGAGGACCTGGCTCAATAGCAGCCAAGTCATCTTCAACAACACCTGTGATAACTCCTTTACAAATCCTATACAGGTATTTCTGATCCCAGGACAGATCTTTCTCCACTTCATCATTAAACACAGGGAAATCAGGGAAACTGACTGGCTGGAAGGCGACAACTGGAAGCTCAGACAAAGACTCCTTGATCTGCTTTCCAATGGGACCACGCCAATGCTCAGGACCACTTGGTTTACCATCATAGTGATAAAAAACTGCGCGGAAAGGCAGCTCATTTCCGTGAAGCTGACATATGAAATAATGGAGCGGGTGACCAAGTAACATTTCAAGATGATGAATGACTCCATTTTCTGATCCTACATTTACATTGGTTCCATCACAACCAACACACACAATGGGCTGCTGGGTTAGATTTTTCTCCACCAGAAACTCGTGAATAGTTTTGGCAATCTGCTTTCCGTGTCCAGTCTTGGGAGTCACATGTGTGAGATATTCATTGCCAGGCTCAACCATGATGACATAATGATCTTTCACCATCATCCTCGAACTCCATTTCTCGGTCTTCTCATTCTTTATCATCACACGAGTGGCGGTCTTCTTACCATCAAAATAGAGTGACGTCAAATTATCTAAACTAGCCATCTCAATTTCTTGCCTCTTAAATCGGTATTTTTGTCTCGCATCCCGCAGCTTATGTGGTCCAATAACCTGACTCTTGTCATCCTTTGTGATAATGCCATAGTCAGTTAAGGTGGCAGTAGCAATGGCAGCTCCAGCATAATCACTAATCAAGTATCGGTCACAAGCGGCAGCCAGTGTAGGGAGTCTTGTCCGGTTCTGTGAACTGGTGTCTGTCAGAGCCCTTGGATCAGGGACAAAATCAGCATCAGTATTGACGAGAGGAATATCTCTTGAATCATCTGAATTATCCTCAACATATGAAAAAAAAGTTGATAAACACTGAACAGAACATTGCACTGCCCCAGCGGCTGTTTGGATAGTACTGTAGGTAAATTTAAAAATTTCAGTAGAAAATGCGGCAGACTAAACCTCGACATATCAGCTTCAAATTTGGCATGGAGTCTTAGATATGTATAAGGAACAATGCCTGAAGAGTGCAGCTTTGAGCAAAATTTCACTGCCCCCTAATACTCATACTTTTAACGGCCAAGGAGTCCTCATAAGAAGAGTGGTCTCCCACTTTTCAGAACATCCAAGTCAACTTCAAAGAATTTTTTTAACTTTTCATCATCTAATAAATGGGGGATAAGGTGAGAGGAGATTAACAACACATCTGCTGTTTCTTGAGTTATACCAAAGCAAAATCAAGGTTTTCCCCCAGTGGAGGCTATCCGTGGACATGTTTTATGCTTCAGTTCAGCTCTTATTCTGCATAAACCTGAAACGCAACACTGGGGTGTTGAGTGCTTGAGGGTCTGTGTTACGTGCATGTGCACACGGAGTGGTGTAATGCGTTTAGTGTGACAGCATTATGTTAGTGTTAAGGTGCAATCACTGCTTGCTTCCTTTCGCTTTCAGCTGCTGCCGCTGGCTAGCCCTCGTGGCGAACAGGGAAACAACTTGCATAAGTCTTCCCCTGCCAGTACACAGCCTCTTCACCATCAAGACTCGTGCTGTGCCTCCTTGCGGCAACACACGGTAACTGGGTGCCTCGTGGGCCCAGGCTAGGCCAGCAGGGGATCTCGGAGTAGCAATGGGCCCCAGAGGGATGGCGCCTAGGACCATTGGCATGTGGACACGTCCTGGTGCCTACCAACCACTGCCCCACTGCCTTGCAGATTATCCTTGGTAGGTATAAGGCTACGGGAGTATAGGTGACCTTCGGGAGATCCTGAACACCTATGCAGATGCATATGCACACTTCGGCCTTGAGGTGAATGTACGTAAGACTCGGATTCTCTTTCAGCCTGCCCCTGGTTCAACAACACCTCCACCATCTATCCAGCTCAACTGTACTACCCTCTCTAATGTTACCCACTTTCGGTATCTCGGCTCCCACCTGTCCACCACCGCGGACATCAATGAAGAGATTCAACATCGGATCAGATGTGCATCTCAAGCCTTTGGCAGACTCCGTACCTGTATCTTCAGCTATAGGGAGCTGAAATTATCTACAAAGTTGCATTTATATCGAGCAGTGCCTCCCCATCCAGCTATATGGCAGTGAGACATGGGTCACATACAGGAGTTACCTCAAGGCACTTGTAAACTTTCACCAACGTAGTCTACGCTCCATCATCCGAGTTTGCTGAGAAGACAAAAGAACAAATGCTAGTATTCTTGCTGACACCAACTGTAGGAACATCGAGGCTACCATTATCCATGAACAACTACGTTGGACTGGCCATGTTACCCGCATGGACGACAGTAGACTGTCAAAGCAGCTACTTTACAGCCACCTAACGAATAGTAAAGGTAATGCTGGTGGACAACGGAAAAAATATAAGGATAGTCTTAAGACAAACCTGAAGAGTGCCAAATCGACCCCCTCACCTGGGAGACGATTACTCCACACCATAACGCTTGGAGGAGCACCACACAAGAAGGTGTCAGTACTTTCAAATTAGCCCGACTGCAAACTGAGGCAAACAAGCGCCAATGCCAGAAAGACGCTGCCGCCGCCCCTCCCGCACTAGATGTAGCCCTTCACATGTGCAACGTCTATGAACGACCCTGCCGGACCCGTATCAGTCTCTCAAGTTATCTTAGAACTCACCAACGAAGGTGACATCCTCAATGACTCATACCATTGTCTCATTGCTGGATGATCGTCGTACTCGATTCTGAGTGACAGCAAAGTAGTAGTAGTAGTTGTAGTAGAAGAGAGATACCATCCTTCATGAGCAGCCTGTTTTATGATGAGCTATATCACCAAGGCTATGGCTCAAAAATTGGGTTTTTGAATCTCTCTCCTATTTGCACTTAACCCAGTGTTTGAAACAGGTGTGCAGGAGTACAGTACAGTATTACAAAGCAACACCTACCTCAGGCTTTACATTGACAATCACAGTCTACAGGATAACCCAGGAACCATCCTTAATATGGTGGTTGTGAGTAATCAGCTGATGAGATTTAGCTGCCAACTTCAAGGATTCCTAAGCTTTTGGTCCGTAGGCTTTGTTTGTCAATATGGGAGTCACCTGACCCAGGTTTTCAGTTATAAAATGGGATTTCAGGATGAAATACCCATAATTTACTGTTCAGCAGTGTTTTAATACAAAGTGCTTTTATTTTGTAATATATATATATATATATATATATATATATATATATATATATATATATATTATATATATATATATATATATATATATATATATATATATATATATATATATATATATATATATATATATATATATATATATATATATATATATATATATATATATATATATATATATATATTATAGTATTGTATTTCCTTTTTTACAGCTATATAAGAAGCTTTTGAATTTGATGCCAAAGGGAAAGATGATTCCCCAAAATATGTTCCAAGTGGAGTTCATGCACTACCCCAAACAGCAGCAGTGTGCTATTGACTGTCTTGAGCAAATGGAAACTCATGGTGAGTGTAATATTGTTCCCATTACTGAGAATTGGAGCAAGTATGTGTTGATGTCTTGGTCATTTCCTGTCTTTTTCTACTCTTATCTTGCACCACAGTCCCTTATTATTTCCTCAATAATTTTTAGGTTTTAAGTTCCTGACTCACACCCTCATAGAAGTAGAGGAGTAATAAGTCCAGGTGTCATATCAGATAGATAGAAGCATTTCCTTTTATAGTTTCCATGTCGTGCAAGTCACAGGTTGAGATCTCTCAAGATTTGGAGCTTAAATATAAAATTAGATTAATCAATTGTCTCATGAGGGGATGTACAGTTGACTGCACTCCTGCATTTACCACTTAGCATTGCTAATCCTCTCTCTCCATGAGGTGTGAACCCTGAACTTTGAAGTGTGAACTCAAAGCATTTGCTAGTGAGCTGGAGGGAGAGAGGAGGGGTGTGTCAGAGTAGGTTTCTGTCTGTGGGGGATGGAAACAGATACGCAGGGTGAGGACAGGAAGTGTACTATATCAGTTGGGAGAGATTACATTGCAGGATAATGCTTTGACAACATCAACGGGTTTCCCCGGTTGAGTGTAATCTTCTAGTGCTCGCCAGATGAAAATACTACAATTACAATGGAATGAGAGGGAGATGAATTCATGCTCTAAATAAGGTATTCCTTTTCAAAATGGGGCATTTATGAACAAATGGATTATGGATATGTTCACTACTATGAGATGGAACTTCCCCAGCTGAATAAAATCGTTTGGCAGTAGCCAGAATAAAATAGATAACAAGACATTGTACTGAAGGGATTAATTAGTAATCAAATCAATGAGGAAGTGGACACCACATATTTATTGTAATGCAATCGATGTGAACAAAAATAGTTCAGTTGGCAGCTGTCCAGTATAGAATCAGTAGATCACATAGTTCATTTGTGCCAAACTATGAGGTTAAATGAGTAAAATAAATTGGCATTGTTATTATTATTACCTACCCCAACACACCCCTCTACTCTCCCTCCCGTTCACTAGCGAATGCTTCGAATTTACACTTCAGAGTTTGGGGTTCACACTTGAGGGAGAGACTATTGGCAACACTAAGTGGTAAATACTGGAGTGGAGCCATCTGTACTGTACATGTTATTTTTACCTTTGTTTAATTTTTGAGTGCTGAGTTTCTAAACCTTTGATGTCCAATATAGAGTTTATTTTCCTTTTAGAAATTTGAAAACCTTCAGATAGTTTGCATGCAAAATCAGTGTAAGTATTCAGCTCAAGTAAAGTAATTGTAAATAAAAGATAACATGGATTTTGCAGGTGTGATGCCGGACACAGAGATGGAGCAGATTCTCTTGAATGCTTTTGGTAAATACAGTCACCCTATACGCAAGTATGGTCGAATGATGTACTGGATGCCCAAGTTTAAGGTAGATTTTATCATTATTTTGGATCATATGAAGATTAGGCACCCCACTTATTTCACCGGATAGTTGAACATCCTAATGCGAGCTTAATATAGCCTAACATAACTCCTGACATAACTAAAGCCCCAGTACAGGTAACATTAGAGTGTTTAACCATTAAGTAAAATAAGATTTTTATTCACTTTTAGAAAAGTTACAAAATAATTGTCAACTTTATTACTACAGTACTGTAGTACAGTGTGTTGTAATGTTACTTGCAATATAGCCGTACCACAAATATGTCACATCTCTTTACTTATTGTTTATAAATGTTTCAGAATGCGTCTCCGTGGCTTCTTCCTGACATTGCTCCAAATGATGCCTTTGAATTGGCAAAGTTGGCTGTTGCACGAATGTGTACAGTTGACCCTGCTTCTACACTATCTGTTTTTGAGGTTTGTATTAACATAAAATGCCTTTTGAATAGAGTCATAAGGTAAAAAGATACCATTTGCACCACTATTGGAATATTGAATCCTGGTCACTTAATTCAAGTGCCTTATACTTAGTACAAATACTGTCTTTATCATGCTCAAGGGCCCAAAGGAACTGTAGCCCAATTTCTGAGCTAGGAATCCACTGCCTTGTCCTGGCTTGTGATGTTAAAAAGTCACAGTATTTTTCCCTTAATCATAAAAGAGGATGTTAAACTACAGTCCCTCATTTCTAGCCAGTTTTATAAAAATTTACAGACCAAGGATGTGGAGGACGCCATAGAGGACACCTGGATTGTAAGTGGTCAGAGCCTAGTGCAGCAGGACCTGTTGAACAAGCATTCACCTGATGAGCCTATCAAGGTCAGTCAAGTTGTCTTTGATATAAGACTTCATTTTTAATTAATTTATACAGTATAGTGTAAGTGTATAGTAACTCCAGGTGGTAGCAACACTTTGTCCCTCACCACTCTGCAGTCACCAAGATAAGTGCAGTACAGTACAATGAAGTGTTGTGTTATGTTTTGTTAGAGTATATTACTGTACAGTATAGTCTGCATTTACGCGGTCAATTAAACCTGTGGAGGTCCGCGTAAAACGAGAAACAAGTAAATGAAATAACAGAACATATGGGATTAATGGAAATAGAGACTGGGCCTTCTCCCAAACTACACTTTTTCCAACACAATACGTACCTTGTAGTAAAAATAACATCATAATTTTATGATGTTATTGATACACACATAATATTTAAATAAAAAACTACAAATCTAAAGGTGTTTAACACTTACGTTAGTAGAAAAGATGGGTCGGCACACGTGGATGGCGGCTGGTTCCGAAGCAGAGGGCAGATTAGTGGCCCTCCGGTGAATCACTTTCACTACTCGCAGAGGTTTGCAGGGCCTCCCTGACAAACCCCTCAAAGTCCATATCCTCACTGTCACTATCACTGACTTGGGCTGGCTGTGGTTGTGGTGGGTTGCGGGCGAAGAAGTCCTTAATACTACGTTGACAACTAGCATTGATGTTGTCGTGATAGATCTGGACATACGGCTCCATAATTTTCAACAGAAGGTTATTACACACTTCATACCGATGATTGACTGGGTCTTTGTCAAGGACGAGCTTGATTTTCTCCCCCAACTCAATGATTTCCTTCACATAACCATGGCTTGGTCCAGGTAATTCAAGGTTTTTCTCAGATGGTGGGGGTCCAGCGGAAGCCATTGTTAGGGGAATAGCGGGCACAAGAGAGAGCTGTATATTCGGACTGAGAACATTGAGACTGGCCCGGCTAGGTCAGCGACTTCTGGTGGCAGGGCACGTCATGTTACATTAGACCAATCACAGCTAGCGGCGGAGGGAATGCGTGGGTGGTAAGGATGCATGGTCCAATCACAGTCCGATACGTCATATGACGTCAGCGATAACGTAAGAGCGACCTAATGCGCACAATGTCCGTGCCTCTTCCCGCTTAAATGATGAAATTTACCGTTTAATTAAAACATTACATTCTGGCAAGGCACCGCGTAAATGACCAACCGCGTAAACAAAATCCGCGTAAATCCAGACTATACTGTACAGATGTTGCAGTACTATAGTGCAGTGTACAGTCATTGTAATTTGGGAAAAATAACATTGTACAGAACTATCCTCTGATGTGTGTATGTTAAATGAATATCACACAGCACAGTCACTACCACCAACTCTGCCTCTTACCTCAGTACTGTAGTGAGGAAATGCATCATTTAATCAGTGTACACATCAGTGCATTAAGTTCATTGGAATACTCAGTACACAGTGGTGGCTCAGAATTTTATACACTTTAGCCCTTAAACAGTGGCCATCATCAGTGGATGCTTCATGTTCCTTGCATTCAATTTTTGTGTACAGTATATGGGAGCTGAGTAGAAAACCTTTAACCAGCAGTTAAAAATTAAGCACTGGTAAATATCTATATACAATATTTTGAGATATTGGAAGGCATTTAAACTACCTGGGTTCATGTACAGTCGGGGACAAAAGTTTGCTCTCTGTGGTGAAACTGACTCATGGGAATAAGTCTCTGAACTGAGTTACCTTGGTGCAGTTGTGATGTTTTAACTCATTTGGGGTCGATACTTCTTCATTGTGGGAGAAAGCGAACTTTTGACCCCAGGTGTGTACGATTTGCCTAAAGCCATTATATCACCTTACAGTACTTCTTATTAATCAGGTGGAAGGTCCGTTTCGTATATTCCTGCGTGATAAGTGTGTTGGCTACTTCATTCTTCGAGCTGAAGCCAAACCCCGGCCCCCGCCACTCAAGAGACAAGAGATTGATGGTGAGTTTAGGAAGTGCCTTTTCATCATCATTGTCATCATCATCAATCATTACACTGGGGAACAAAATTCAACTTTTTGTCAGTTGCATACATTTTGAGACCTGTTTCTGGGTAAATTGAGGTCACTGATTTCAAATATGGCACCGGTTTTTTTCTATCGGGTCTAGTTTTGTTGCGGTGAGTTACCTACCATTTACTACTATATATAGTTAGACTACCATATACTACTGCTAAAAATCTAAACCAGCACACAGAGAGGAATTACCAAACACGTAGAATTAATTTTTAATTACTTTTATTTACCTTGACAAGCATATTTTGGATTCATCAGTTGCTTTTGTGAACTATGCCAGATTTATTCAGGCACAAACTTGCGTTTAATGGACTGTCTTGAATATCGCCTCTCAGTGCAGTCTCGCTGAATGCTCCAGCAATAGTCCGCCATCATGTGAATGTCCCAGCGACCTTGATACCTGTCTTCCATGACTTTGATATCCTGGTGAAAGCGTTCACCTTGCTCATCACTCACGTCCCCCAAGTTTGCCGGAAACAGTTCAAGATGACTGTTCAGGAAATGCATCTTAATGCTCATGTTGCAACCTAACACATGGAAACTTTCCATCAAAGATTCAACGAGCTTTTTATAGTCCTCTGATTTCCTGTTTCCAAGAAAGTTCCTTACAACAGAAACGAATGCTCCCCATGCATTTCTCTCAACATCAGTCATGGATTGAGTGAAGGCTTGGTCTTTAATCAGCGTCCTAATTTGAGGGCCGTCGAAAATACCTGCTTTGAGTTTTTCTAGCGTTAAACCAGGGAACACTTCACACAGATACTTAAAACAGTCACTGTCAGTATCGAGCACCTTGACAAACTGTTTCATAAGGCCCAGCTTGATGTGAAGGGGCGGGAAAACAATTTTTTCACGTTCCACTTGGGGTTCATAAATGATGTTCTTTTCCCCAACATTGAGGCTTTCCCTAACTGGCCATTCCTTCTGAATCCAGTGTCTATCTTTGGCTCTGCTGTCCCAGAGGCAGATAAAGCAAGGAAATTTTGTATACCCACCTTGCTGTCCTAGCAAAAAATTGACCATTTTTAGATCAACATAGATGATCCATTTGTGTTCTTCATATTTGAGTAGCTCCAAAACCGTTTTGATGTGTTCATATTTTTCTTTCAGGTGTACTGAGTATCCTATGGGTATTGCGCCAAAGATGTTGCCTATATGTAATAAAACACACTTCAGACTCCGCTTAGAGCTATCTATAAAGAGGCGCCACTCTTTAGGATCATAACCTGGAGCTCCCATCGCGGTGACTAATCCAAAAATATCACAACAGTAGACGAAGTCAAATTTAGAATCAAAGAACTGTAAGAGGTTCTTTTCTCTGTTGCGAAAGAATGTTACCTTTGTGTCTATTTTCAACAAGTTTTTATCTTTTAACCGTGAAGCCAACAATCTGACAGCTTTTTAGACAGACCCAGATCTCGAACTAAGTCAATGAGTTCTGCTTGGCTAAATGTTTGCGGTTCTGTTGATATGCCTGCAAAATCTGAGTCACTATTTCTGTTAGTTGACTCCTCTGTGACCTCAGTGTCATATTCACTGTCAGATTCAACGGAAGCAAGTTGAGTGAAGATAGGCTTTGGAACATCATCTGAATGGGGCACAGGCCTGATTGCTGAATCTAGACCTGATCTGCACAAACGAATGCCATTTTCAGAATCTGTGACCTCAAATCTACCAGAATCAAGTGTCAGAACTCATGCAACCGAAAGTGTGTTCCCCAGTGTTATTATTGGTGTTGTTATGATTGTTATTATTATTATTGTTATTAGTGTTGTTATTAGTGTTGTTATTATTGTTGTTATTATTATTATTATTATTATTATTATTATTATTGTTATTATTATTAGTGTTATTATTATTATCATCATCATCATCATTGTTGTTTTGTCATCATCATCATTATACTCTTTACTATCATTGTTGCCATTAATGTCATCAGCATAATTTTCCTCAAAAGTACTGTAATTACCCTTCTCATTATTATCATCACATCAACATTATCATTTTGAGTGTTTCCAGTTGGTTATTACTTCAATAGTTGTCAATATGAGGCTTTATACAACTTTCTGGATCACCTGAAAATTAAGCAACCTCACCTAACCTAAAGTATCCTGACTTAACCTAACCTCACCTTTCCTATCTGAACCTCATCCCCCAAATAATCATCAGGGTGGTTATTCTTTAGGTGAAATAAGCTGAGGGGGTAGAATCTTCAAGTGATCTAATTTTCTCAACCAGATGTAGAAGTGAATGGATTTTAGAGAGAATTTGGAAACTCACTACATTAATATTCTTTCTCTTTCCAGACGTTGGAGATCTCAAGTTCTGGTTCACTGGTGAGATGCAGCCAGATGAGGAGGTGGCTGTGTCTCATCCTATTAGTGTCCACGAACAGGAAGATGGCACCATTCTGGCTATTTGTGCTACAGGTACAGTAATAGTATTTGATTTTGTGTTTTTTGTATCATTACTACTTGGGGATTTAGCTCCGGAGTTTATTTCTCTTGATGATTAAATACCCTGATGCTGCTTGGAGGGTTAGGTTAAGTTAGGTTACCATTGGGGTGGTTAAGCTAAAGGTGAAATATGTTTACTCTTAATTTTCTGTTATTTGATCTATATTTTAAGCTGCACATGTCAGATCAGTGAAGCCAACAATACAGTTACTGACTGGCTGCCTCACTCAAGAGAACTCTGCATCATATGAAGGTTAGCACCCCCAGTTTATTTCACCCGTTGATTTAACACCCTGATGCTACCTGGGGGGTTAGGTTAAGTTAGTATTAGGGTGTTTAGTCATCAGGTTAAATAAGCTGTGGATGCTAATCGTCATATGACCCAAAACTCTTATATCATTTATGTAGTGTTAAACTATTTAATGTACTATTTTTTAGAGATTTACTGTACTTTGGTAACTCCTCTTACCAGGTACTTCTGGAAGGATTCACTCTTGTCTTGGATCCGGCTGTTGGAGAATACAAACCCAAACCTGGCCAACATACCTGTACTGTTTACACAAGCCAGTCCTATTGGAGATATCATGACCACCGACGAGCATGATGAACCTGCATCAGTGGAAACGGTCTCTTGAAGGTACCTAACTGTCAAAATGTATAAATTGGATACAGCAGACAGTACTGATTGTTGTAAATAATGTATTTCTAGTTACAGTAAAAGACAACTCACTGACTTCTTTATTCATTCCACAAGCGGTGGTTAGTGGGAGTAGTGATACCAATCATCAGTTTTCAGTGATTTTTTTTTACATCCCACACTCACTTTACTCATACAGTACAGTATTGTGATTATCTCAGGGAGTAGTGAACTTGTTTTGCCAGCTAAGAGGGCGCTTGAAAATCCTACATATAATGCCCAGTTCCCTCTCTGTAAAACTGGGTTAGCGATAGGCATCACAACTAACCTACGCTGGTATGAAAAGTGGCCATAAAATGGTGACAATAATAATGATATTCCACATTCATTATCTGTCATTTTACCTGTTTATTTGCCTTTCCCCAGTTATAGTTACCAGTTATTAATGTGGACTGTGTTAGTACTGTCTGCCTTAAATGACTCTCAGTGAGTATAGTATAATACTCATATAATCCCTGTACCGTGTACTTTACCAGAGTGACATTCAGCAGAGGAGTATTGAATCTTTTTTTATGAGCAAATTTTACCATGGTTCACCTTTGACCTCATTCTCAATTCTTTTTAATGAGTTAGCACATACAGTACTTCAAGTTTCTTGGCTATATTAAGTTTCAATACACCAACACCTTTAGTAATGAAGTGGATGTACAGGTATTCTTAAGTGTCCACCTCATTGCCAGTGGCAGGGAAACATGGGGTGAATGGGGATAATTTCAAGATGTTCATTCAGTAATACAAAATCTTTAATGTGGACTGTGCTAATCAGACTTGGGTCCAAAGCTGAAGCCAACCATTTTTAAAGTCACGAAGCCAAAGCCAGCTATTCATTAAGTTTATGAGACAAAGCCAAGGCTTAATTTTTTTTTTTTTTTTTTTATGGGATTAGCCCACCATGGCACAGGTCAATGACCCACAGTAGGGCCTGGGGGCGAAAATATAATAATGTAATAATATTAATTAATAAAAATTATTAAAAATAGTAAATAAAAATATAATAATGATAATAATAATATTAATAAAGGACCATAAATACAAAAATTAAAAAAGAAAGATCACTAGTGAGAAACAATATACAGTATGTATGTTGTGTTGTCAAAGTAAAAGAAACAATTGAGACCCTGAAATTGTGTGTAAATGAGGCAGAAAGTCAGATCAGCAACATGGAACTTGGTCACAATTTTTGTGGTGCCATATAGCAGCAGGGTCTACCATTAGACAATACATTATGCTTCCAATATCTTCCCAGGCAGTAGTACCTCCCTGTTTGATGGCTGCCTCCTATCTGCTACTTATACAGTGGGGTATGCTATAACGAATCTAATTGGTTCTAGAACCTTGTTCGTTATAGCATTCGTTCGTTATAGGATTAATCCGTTCCAGGCCCCCAAATACAACCACTTAACACTGAAAAATATAATATAAAATTGTAAAAATTGTAAAAAAGTGCATAAATATGCATCTAAACCCCTGAAATAAAGAATATCATTAATACTTGTAATAAAAAACAATAAATTATTAAAAATAAATAAATTTAAATAATGTTCGTTGTAGGAGTTTCGTTCGTTGTAGGAGTTTCGTTCGTTATAGCATTCTCAATTTTATAGGTAAAACCGTTCGTTATAGGAATATTCGTAGTAGGATCCGTTCGTTATAGCGTACCCCACTGTATACAGTAATACACTGTACTGCATTACCTTACATGTCATTTGACATACATATGATAGCTAAGTTGCAGCAAGGCTTTGAGGTAAGCCGACTGAAACTGGTTGTTCTTGGTGTAAGGTTTGACTCTCCCTATAGACTGAAAAAAGTTGTTTATAATAACAATTTGTTTTTAAAACTTTTATTTTATTCATTGTTTTATCTTATTCAGTATTTATCATCATTCATTTACTCTATTAATCCAATAATTTTATTAATTATTCAAAACAAATCAGTTAGGCAAAAATCTACAAAATATGCATGATAACATATAAACATAGTACTGTACTGTAATTTACAGTCACAAATCACAGAGAAACATTGCTGTCGGTCAGCTGAATGTAGGGAAAAGTCAGTGAATAAGTTAGAGACAGGTGGGGGTTAGGTTAGGTCTAGTCTGGTTAGATTTTCATTTTTGAATATTGAAAAATCTAACCTCACTCAACCCACCCAAACCAACCTAACTTGTTAATGGGGCCTGGGAATACCATCCTCGACCCTGTAACCACTTAATACTGTTCTGCTCCAATTTCTCCACACTCATACACACACTAAAAAGGGAGAAGAATATGGTAGAATGTTACAAGAAGTGTAGACAACAACACTAAAGAACACTAAATTTAGGAATAAATCGACTGGTTTGGTTCTCTTATACTGGCATCAAGAATTAAAACAAAATTTTATGAGTGTCACAAATCTTTATTGGTCTCCTCACCAACTGAACTGTTGGGAGGACCATCCAATATAGAGATCACAGTTGCCCAGAACCACAAAAATCATTCAACTCATTTGATTAAAAAAGAAAAAATATATATAAACAATTATATTATGGTCAAATGTACACTGTACATCGAAAAGTAAAATGCACTAATGGAACAGACATCATGCTCTCAGTATCTTGAAGGAACTTATCACAGCAACAAAACAAGAAATGATGGGGGAATTTATGAGCTTGATATACAGTTGCATAACCAAATCAGGGTCAAGTTACTCCATATAGTCAGCAGGTCTAGGTGTTGTGACCCCAGGACAGCATCTTATAAATGGGATGCAAAATCAAATAAATCAACATTTAAATTGTCCTTCACTGTCTTACCAGATGGACATCCTTCAGGACCCTGGTGTGAAGGTGATCAGTAAACTGATTATCAAAATTATTAAGTTTTTAAGTCCTAGTCACACTGGGGCTCTCAGGCATCAGGCCTGGGATAACAACCCCCTATATACTTGTTAACTAAACAGAAATGCTGAATCCTATCTTCGGTCGACAAATCAATAAACTTATAATCGGCAATTACTATTTAGTCATTTTTTGAGACAATAGATAATCTCCTTTCATGTGTATTGTTTTGTATTGGATGGTTTGCACAGAATATAGACTGATTTCTTTTACAAAAACCTCTTTAGTATAACAAAAGATATATCCAATTATCGACTTAGTAATTTCATTAAGCAAAATAAATGTGTACTGTATGTATACTCCAAGGAACTCAGAGCAGTAATAGATATCACTTTAAAACAAACCTAGTGTTATAGTTGGTTGACTGCGCATTTACAAGATATATTTCTACAACCAATATTACCTTTATCTGAATATCACAAGACAATGTTGATTGTTGTCATTTTCATCAATCTACTGTGCAAACATGAAAGGTTTGCCCAAGAATTCAGGCAGTTCCACATATCTCAACTGACCTAAACAAGTGGGTTGTATATCAGCCGTTAAGATCACATACCCTCGTAGGGTACAGATGATCTTTGTGTAAATTCCTCCATTTATGATACAACTTTTTTTTTTCTTTTTTTTTTTTGCCAAACAATTCCAATTTAACCTTGCCCTTAACATTAAATAAGATTAGGTAGAAAATGAATATAACTATTTTACAAAGAAACAATGGGATTTGTTTTGAAAATACATTTTATCTGGAAGACGGAGCTGCCGTCAATGATCTCGGGAGATCCTAGATACAGTACATACAGTACAATACACTGTACTACCCTAAACCCAGTCTACTGATTTTATTCCATATATCCTACCCATCCTAATGTGCCTGAGAAAACGTTTACATTATGACTAGATTGTGATGGTAACTACTGTGTTCTAAAAGCAAAATCCACCATCATTAAATTATATAACGTACATTTATATATATCTTTATATTTATAAGAATACTGTATATACAAAGGTGAAAACAATATACACTTCACACTTTTAAATTTCAAAAGATTTTTGTCATGCAATATGCAGCAGCAGCCATATTTTTGGGTTTATCACATGCGCCTAAGACTATGCAGTCATTGGGCATTTTACAGTACAGAAGAGGTAATTTAGAAGAGGTTATTGGTTGTTGTTACACTAACATGTTAAACTGGTAACACACTGTAAAGGAATTGCTTCCATGTATGTAGTGGCCTTAAGGAGAAAGATTATCACTGTAACATCCTCGTCAACACACTTCATTATACATCGTGATATTAAGCCTGGGGAAGTTGAGCATAAATCTCTAAGGTTAACAGTATCAAAATATGCTTTAATCAAAATCTAATAAGTTATGTCACAGGCTGTGCTTCACCACACACATCCACTTCATACTGGGCACATGTCAACACTTTTGATTTCTATAACTGAAAACCACCGAAAAGAAAAAAAAAGACACAAGCAGTAATTAATACAAAACATAATTACCTAACACTAATCTACAATCGGTTAACCATTTGTGTGTTAATCTGAGGCATGTATTGTTTATGTCTGCTGGAAGTACTGTACTGTATTGTAAATGATATGAAGTGATAGTGTGTTTTATGCATAATGTACGGAATGTAAAGATTTAATGATGATGCAGAAATTCTTGTAATCCTTTCAAAAATAAAGTAACTTATGGTGATGATTTTAATGGAACGCATCGCTGGTGAAGAAAAGAAAAGATTATGGCGAGAAAATCAAGATTTTTTTACTTAAAAACATTCAAGTGAGTGAAATATCAAATAACACTAAAAACACTTAGTAGATGAAGTACTTAACAGAACTTAAACATATAAAGATAAAGCAATGTACTGTAACTCTGCTGAATAGAACTTTGTGGTTGAGTGGAGACTATTTTACTACTGAACACTTTATGAAGGTGAATACTGAATTAAAGGATTCAGTAATATACAGTATTATAAAAGAAAGTGAGAGGTCTTGGCTCTAAATGGAATGCACTTGGGGGGTTACCTTTTTGTTTTATGGAAAACTAAACTACCTTTTCAGGTTACCGGTACATCAAAATTATTACATCAATTTTGCTGAATCTCATGTTTCAGTCAACACCAGCGGTAACGTGGGCGACCTGACC